TTGGTTCTGACTCCTAGCATCCCTGTATACAGTTTCTCAGGCTGGAAATCTTTATGAGAGCAGAAAGCCTCATCTTTCTTCCATGAAGTGGCTGGCAGATTTTAACTGCTGATCTTGCAGTTAACAGTCCAATGTGTAACCCACTACAGAATCAAGGCTCCTTGAAGAGGTTAGTAGACTTCAATTTCATCCTCACTGACTTTAGTGGTTGGTGCATAAATCTGAGTAATAGTGGAATTAACTGGCCTTCCTTACAGGCATATATGTATATTACCCTATCATAGGTAGCACTGTAATTCAAGATAGATCTTGAAAAGTTCTTTTTGAAGATAAATGTTAACACCATTCCTCTTCAATTTGTCTTTCTCAGCATAGTAAACATGATTGTGTGGTTTAAAATGGTCACTACCAGTCCATTTCAACTCACTAATGCCTAGGATATAGAGTTTTATGTATTCAATTTCATTTTTTGACAACTTTCATGGATGACTCTGCTGATATTTAAAATACCAGTAGCATAGCTTCCAGCATCACAGAAGCCACCACAGTATGACCAACGGTGGTGGCTCTCACCTCTAGTAATTGCTAAAACACTATGGTTTTTTACATTTGTCTGTTTTATATGGTTGAGATCATCGAGTATCTCCCCTTTTGTAACTGACTGACTTCACTGACTCAGAAGAATGTCTTCAAGTTTCATCCACAGTTTCTTTGATGAACACTTAGGCTGTTTTGAATAGTGCTCCCAGTGAACACACTCCTGTTTGCAGTCCTTTTTGGGTATATAACTGGGATGAGGCTGTGTCATATGCTAGCTCTCTAGGTATGCTAGCTCTCTAGGTAACTTTTTGGAGTAATACCAAACTGGTTTCCACAGTGGCTATACCATTTTGCATTCCACTGAGTAATGGAGGAAGGTTCTAATTTCTCAGCATCTTCAACATGTTATTTTTATTTAACCACAGCCATCCAGGTGGTCACGTTATACTTGGCAACAATTGTGAGGTTGGCCAAGGACTGGACAGTGTTTCATTCTGTTGTGCATGTTGTTATGTGCTGTGGAGTTGGTTCTGACTCATAGTGATCCTGTACAGGGTTTCCGAGGCTGTAAATCTTTACAGGAGAAGAAAGCCTCATATCTGTCTCCTGCGGAACAGCTGGTAGTTTCAAACTGCTGACCCTGAGGTTCGCAGCCCAATTCGTAACCACTATGCTACCAGAGCTCCTTTCTGTTGTGCATAGGGTAGCTATAAGTCAGTACCAGCTTGATGGCACCTAACAACAACAACATTTAAGGGGGATGAAGTGGTTTCTCAATGTTGTCTTGGTTTGCATGTCCTTAAACCCACCAGCTACTCTGTGGGAAAAGATGAGGCTTTGTTTCTGAAAAGACTTATTCATTGTTGTTGTTAAGTGCTGTCAGGAGTTGGTTCCGACTCATCGACCCTGTCTGAATAGGGTTTCTGAGGAGTGGCTGGTGAGTCTGAACTGCCAACCTTGACGTCGAGTGTGCTTATCCTATGGTGCCGTACCAGTTCTATTACCTATAGGGCGTTTTATGGTTGTCTTAGTGAATGTATGACACACACTTGCAGAAAGTGTATTCTGAAGATACAGGGTTCAGATTATGTCCTAACTGACATTTTATCTGGTCAGTTGCTGACTTGTTTGTTAAGTGATGTCAAGTTGGTTTGGACTCACAGCGATGCAGTTACTAGTCCAGTGTTTATTCTGTTCATTTTACTCCGTCCATTTTAGTTACGATTTCTTCCTAGAGAATTTACACTTTTATTATTATCATGAAGTGCTCTACTACACTTTGATTTTTTTTTTTTTTTTTATGTTTATTTTTCTATTGTAAAATATGCATGAAGGTGTTCCAAAGAGTTCCTGGGACAATTCCATTTAAGCCACGCCCATTATGCTAATCATGATGTGCAGCACTCATCTACCAGCTACTCTAACCAAACAATGGCTTCCTGCTTCCTCTCCTGAGAACCAATTTGCCTCTTTTTTGCGTGTACGTTTTGTTCATCCATTCATCCATTAATAGAAATTGAGGTTGTTTCCACTTTACAGTAAATACTGTTTGTATCACTACTTTTTCAGGTCACTTGGGTATATGCCTAGGAGTGGAATTGCTGGGTCATATGTTTAATTTTCTGAGGAAATGCCAAACTGTTTTCCACGGCGGTGGTACCATTTTGCATCTCCACCAGCATTTGCTGTTTTCCTTTTTTTTTTTCACATCTTAGCTATCCTTGTAGAATGAAGTGGCATCTCTTTATTGTTTTGATCTGCATCTATCTAATGGCTGATGATGCTGAACATCTTTTCATAGGCTTGTTGGCTACCTGAATAGCGTCCTTGGCAAAATGTTCACAATGAGCTTGTGTGATATTAATATGGCCGTTCCAGCCTTTTTACTTCATGCAAATTATAAAAACCTTTTTCTATCCATTTACTTTGAACCTACCAATCTGTTCTTTATATTTAAATTCTTTAACACCAAACTCTGCCCTCTGTTTCTTCAATTCAGTGATGTTGCTAATTTCTAACCCAGTTTTTAGGAGCCTCTGTGGTGCTGACTAGGCCTGACCTTAGACAAAAAGGCATAGAAACTTACCATGCCCTACTTTCTGCATGGCTTTTCTCCGGTGCTTTCAAGCAGCTAAGCAGTGAAACCTGTGAACTTAGAATGTGACGGAACTGCCTGGTTTTCGGGTCTTGCGAACTTTTCCTTCTCTGACAAGTTTCTGATTTTCACACATTTTAGTTTATAATTATTACCTGGAGGAGGGTTGGTTTAATAGGAGCTACTTGGCCATGACTAGAAGAAGAACTCAAACAGAATCTTACATGGGACATGGGACCCCCATAAAACAGATCAAAGAGGTGGGTCAGTCACAATGAGGGTGCCTCCTCTAGTACCTGGTTTGAGAAGTGAGCCCTGATAAAAGGCCTTTGTTTGGTGACAACCTCTTTAACAAACAGGGAACATAAGAGATGGCATCTCACCTGAGAGAAGTATTCTTCTGAGATGCGTGCAGCCCACTCGATGCAGAACTCCAGGGACCGACAGGGGTTGGAAACATCAGCACACTTAATCAGCATCCGTTTGATCAGAGTCCGGTTCTCTGGCATCCTGAGCATACTGTTTATTGCTTCCCGATCTTTATCAGTTTCCTAAAACATGCATGGGATTCAAAGCTATCAAAATAAGGCGTGTGGTGCCAAGTACCAGTGGGGCTCTGGTAAAGCACAAAAAGGTACTTGGGTGGGATCCATAAGTTCAAGGTCTCACAGAGTGCTGAAGGTACACAGGGGAAAACCAAGGCTCAGTGAGGTTCTGGGGACCCAGGAGTAGGATGGTGGTACTGGCAGGTGGTTTAGCTGTCCTTTCCCTTCTTCTGGCCTCATACTTCTCTCCTTCTCACTCCAACTCTTTCTCACAGTTGCTTTTTCTTTCTGTTCCTCCGTTTCTCTTTTGGTAACCAAAAACTCAAACAGGTTTTATCTTACATTTGTTCAGAGTGTGAACTCAAGGAGCAATGGTTCTTTTACCCTCATGACAAAGAGCTCTTGTGGTTCCCTGTTTCTCCCATCCTAACCCCCAATCCAGTGGTGGGGCAGCTGTGATCCCAGGAATTAGTCTGCAGTGTACTAAGATTATGTCGTATATAAAGGTACTCCTTGACTCTGCCCTGAGCATTTGTATGGTGTACAAAGGACTTAACGTCATTCTCTTTTGATCTGTACTCACAAGATTATGGTAGGCACAGCTGAGTATATTATTCATGATTACCTTTTATAGATGAGGGCCCTGGGACTTGGAGAAAGTGACTCATCCAATGTTACCCAGCTGAGCCACAATGAAAACTAAAGTACTCCCTTCACTCCTGAGCTGCTTCCACTCACATTACTACAGACTGTCTGTCTCACAAGGGGCCTCACTCACTATGGGTTCTCAATCCATAATCTAATGGCGTTGGAAGAGGGCGTACTGGGGCACAGAGCTCTGGCAGAGGTAAGAGCTTCTTGATTCTACACCCAGGAGTTGAATGTGTTTGACCGTAACAGGTCCATCTCAGTGGGGGCAGATCTGCCATTAAGCTGAGCAGTGGCATCCTCAGTCTCGGCTGCCCAGACCCCTGGAGTACCAGGCTGGACTCTGTCTACCACGACTGCCTCCTAGCTCTCCCTGCTCCAAGGTTCTACTGTTCACCAGCATTGGGCTCAGCCTTCTTTCTTCAGATGTGTTCCTACTTCTGGCCTAGAAACTGTTCTTTCTTACTGCGTCTCTGTTCTTATCCACTGGGTACTGACTGTCACATGGACTCTCAGAATAGCCCTGTGAACTAACAACAGAGATGAGAAACATGACAGTCAAGTGGAGTAGAGGACTCGCCGAGTGTGGAACTAAGTGGCAGGAGATAAGTCTGTGAAGTCTGTGGCTTATCGGCAGGGGGTCAGCTAGTAGCAGTAGCTGAGAAACAATGCCATCGGGGGCGGAGGGGTCAGGGGCAAGATGCCCAACTAATAGAAGGAAGGCGAAGGGAGCAGGGTGCTCAACATGTCTGAACATCGGGTTCAACAGCAGGATGTACAAAGAGAGAGTAGACAAAGGTCATGTCAAACAAATTAGTTACTAAATAAAATGGAGTTAAACATCAAGGACTAGTTTGATACGATGTATCTGGATAAGCCATTCCGGGGCCGGCCTGGCAAAGTCTTTCAGGATAGTGACAGGAGTTGAGGAGAAGAAAGATGGAGGGGCAGTGAGTATGAGGTAGGTCAGCTGTGTGGACCTCAATGGAAGAACACATTCTCTAGGATGCTGACCTCCCAAGGACGTGAAGTCTTATGCCTTGAGATTTATTATCTCCACCAGGAAACAGTAGAAGGATTGGAACTGGGATCTTCGGCATCAGCTCTGGCCTCCTGTCTGAAGGGAGGTTTGAGGCTATACTTGTCAGGCAGTTGTGGGTGCTATACCTCAGCTCCAGAAATGAGGGGCTGCTACCACAGAATACGCACATAGGAATAAGGGTCACAAACTCATGTGTCTCTAAAACGAGTCTCCCTTACCTTGTTTTCTTCTAGCAATGCCAAGGGCTTGGTGACACTGTTGACAAACTTGTTGACATGCTCGAAATGCTTTGTCATCTCTGTGGCTAAAACCATGTCAATAATCCCCTGGCGCAGCACCCGATAGTCGTTCCTGTTTCAGGCGACAAGTGAGAGACTGAGTCAGACAGACAGGGACTTCTGAAATCAGCCTGTTACCCAACATACGTGTGCACTGCAGCTCAACTGCTAATGTGCCTGGAAGTCACAGGGCATACTCCTCCAGGATATTGTGGAGATTACAGGTGAGCATCTACATCTACAGACACTAAGATGGGAGGGAACTTTATGGGCACGTCTTCATGGATGCACTGTTTTTATTACTGTTGTGGTTGTACAGTGTACCGCATACAGTCCTTAGACTAACACAAGATAAAACACAGTGTAACACACACTCAGGCACCTTGAGATCCAACCACGTTAGTGCCCAGAGAACTCTGAAGGAAGCTCTTCTTCTGAGACTGGGAAAAGTTCCCAGGAATATTTGATAACTCTTCCTTCAGTCTTTGTCTAATAATCTGTATAATTCAAAAGGTACAAAAGGATGTGAGGCAAAGTCTCCCTTTTCTCCAGTTACCTAACTCGGTTTCCAGGAAATAACCAAAGTTATCAGGGTCTTATGTTATTTTCCAGTGATTAGTTATGCCAGAAACCTTATCAAACCAAAATATCAAAATGCAAAGGTATGTGTCTCAATCGGTTTTCCATCTAGAGTCCCTAACCATCCTGAGTTCAGTGCTCTTCAGTTTACATCAAGGCAGCCATTGTGGTAGCTTCAGGGACTCGAATTGGGGGTACAAGTAGTAGGCTGTAGGGTAGATGGGATGAAGTTTGTGTGCTTGTCTGTTTACATTACATCAAAAATGACAAGGGGCACAAAACTGTGTCCTTTTAAAATGCTCTGCTTTGAGTTTTGGGAACAAGAAGCCTGAAGGGGTAAGATCAGGGCTATAGTGTAAAGTTTCCCAAAGAAATCTTTGTAGAACAGCTCTGGCTATAGCCTCAAAGAATGAGCAGGTACGCTGTCATAGGAAAAAATCAATAACTAAATTAAGTGGCATTAAATATCAAGGCCTTATGGTAGACCAGTGCTTGCTCAAAACTAGGGAAGAAGACGGGGCATGGGAAGGAACAGCTAATGCATTTCGAGTTTCTTTTTGGTAGGATAAAAATGTTCAAAACTTGAGTGTGGTAATGTTCACACAGTTCTGAATACACTAGAAAACAAGTTACACTTCACATACGTGAACTGTTTTCTCAAAGCTGCTAAAAAAAAAGACAGGCTCAACATGCACAAACTTTCCTAATAAGTTACTGTTCTTACTTCTCCATGTTTTTAAAGATATTGCATTTATCATCCTGAATGGTCAGCTGGAAACCCAGCGCTGCATGGTGGCTCTCCAGGACCGCAGTGTCATTATACAAGATGGCCAGCTCACTTCCGGCATTACACAAGAAAGAGTTGGTTCTCCCGGGGTGATCCACGTCATGAATGGTGGCTGCGAGGAGGGCAGCAGCCCGGTCCACTGGATCTAAAGATTGCTGAAAACAAGAGAGCTTTTTCAAAAGCAAGGTACAGCTTAGGAGAAAAGGAAGCCGTCTGTACAGTTTTCTTTCAGTCCTGTTACTTTATTACTTTAAGGCAAGACACATTTCTAGGAAAAGCATACTGTGTGGACAAATCCTATCTGTTTTCCTAATCTCAGCCTGAAAATCAGTAACTCTTCTCTGATAAGCATGTGCAGAGTCTCACACAAGTTAAAGGATGGTGCAGAATACAAGGGGGCTTCAAAAAGTTCATGGAAAATGGAAATAAAAGAATATTTCCATGAACTTTTTGAAACTCTCTCGTACAGGGTGTCCTCAACAGATAAAAATCAGACTAACATGAACTACTACTGCTCAGCTAAGACTGACTACAAGAGAGAGGCTTAACTGAAAACAAAATAAAACCAAAAACCCTGTAAGTTGAGGACTGGTCGAGTTTTCTTTCCTGCTTTAGTGCTACCTTTGTCAGACCGGTACTGGGGCTTTGTGAACTGATACTTTGTGGAATGATGATCTCTTAATTTTTTCCATGTTTTTATAAGGCTCTGAAAAAGGTTTATGGAGTGTGGGGAAATTCCTTAAAGGAATAAAGAAGTCACTGGTCCATCTGGGTCAGGAGCCAGGCTATATTTGCGTCTGGGGCACAGGGCAGGGAGGGATGAGGAGGAGCTGCTGTGAGTCCGGAGAGCCCTGAATGCCCGTCCTGTGGAGGTGCCATCCTGCAGGGAGTAGAAGCTGCTCCTGGCAGTGATGGAGGCAGGTTTGCTGCTGCAGAAAAGCATGTTGGCAGCAGTGTATTCTGCAGGAGAATCTGGGCTTTGGAACTGTCTAGCTGGGAGCCTCACTGGGACAGCAGAAGCAACATTATGACGAGGAGATGAATCGGAACATTCACGTGTTATACTAGGCAAGGTGAGATGACTAACCAGATGTCGGTGGGCTGATAGGGGAGAAAGAATTGCTGGCTGGGTCTGTGCTTGAACCAGAGATGCAACCATGTTCTATGAACAGTGTAGGGCAGTGACTTTGGTCCCAAGTGGCTGATTATGGGGTACAGTTGGGGTCCTTAAGCAGCAATATCTAAGTTAGTTCCTTATACGAGCCTATAGCTTCAGACTGACCCCCTGAACATCCCTATCCTGACCTACAGCATGCCTCCCTGATCCTGTTTCCGTATTCCCACAACATGGGGCATGTCAGGAATGAACGTTACCAATGTGCAGCTACTGCTGGAGTTCATGTGGCCACACCCTTCGTGTGCCAGGCTGCGGGACAAGTGTGAGACTACTGAACAGTCACACCCTGTACCACCCTGGCCGAGGCAGAAGCCAGGGACTGTCCTCACTGCTGCTACCTGGTAGACACGGACCACAGACACCCATTTACCTTTATCCTCTCTTTGGACAGAAAATAGGCCGTCGCATGTAGCACATCTGCGGCATGTGTAGAATTGTGGTACGGGTTAGAGGAATGATAATTGGTTTCGATAATTTGTAACCAGGATCTGAGCGTTGACTCAGTGCAGTTTAAGAATTCACAGATTCCAAAGCGAGCAAATATTTTGAGACCAAGATAAATCAAAGGTCTGGAGAGAGAGAGGGGAAAAAAAAAAATCCACCCATTACAACAAAGCAAGAAAACAGGGTGTTTGGATCCTGAAGAGGTTCCCAGTCTAGGCGGCAATCCCGAGCTGCACTTGAGCATGCTCCGAGGCTGCTGCTCTTTTTCCCGTTGGGCAAGGTGCAGCCCAGCTCCTACCTCCAGGGGACCAAAATGTACCAGGGAGACCTGGCTGCTCACAAGATTCTAGCCTTAGAGCTCCTGTGGCTGCTAGGACAAGGTCTGCTCCCCACCCTTCTGATTTAATTCCTACGTGCACTAGCAGATTCCCCCAAGCCAGAATTTTATTAGGCTAACCCTGTGCCTCCATTAAACCCTATCCTCTACTTTGGACTTGCATCTCATTAGCCAGATGTTCTGTCTAGAAGAAAGTATTTTCTGAGGTTCAAATATGAGCCAGACACTGTCATGCAGCATGTGTACCCTTCTAACTCGGGAGACTGTGACACAATGGCGACTCTGAGGAGTCACTTTGGTCTGGCCCTGGTTTGGAGGGTTAAGAACATGGCTCTGTTGAGGCACATCCAGAGGAGGTCAGGCTGCTAAGACCTGACCTTACTCTCAGGAGATGAGAATGTCACCCAGGTGTGGAAGGACTCAGTGGGCACAGGAGTGGGCTTGTCTTGTTGCTTTCTAGAGTACCCCTCATTTATCCAGGCTGCAGTGCTAAGGAAGTAGAATCTATCAGAAGGCTGGCTTATGCTGAGCATGAATTAAGGGCAGGGAGGATGTTGGGGACACAGACTGTCTAGACTGGGACAAGATCTGATAGATCATCCCCTACACTACCTTCAGTCAGCTGGGCTGAGGGCCCCCACCCTGAAGGACAGTCCTTATTTAACTCTCTGGCTCTGAGGACATCCCTTTCTAGGCTCTTAGTTGGTGACCCCCACTCTGGTTAACAAGGCTTATCCAGCAAGGCACAAAATTCAAGTTAAAAATCCCCGTTTGGTGATCATACCCCTTTCTGTGGTCAAACTTTTATCCACATTCTGTGGTCATACCCAATCAGAGTGACTACAACTTTTAGATGTTTCTAAGAAAATTTTAATTCTCAGCTGAGTGGGGTTCTTGGCCAATTATCTCACCATACCAACATCGACAGGAGAAAATCCCGCTATTTGGAGAGGTTAAGCCCCTCCTCGTTCAATGTCAACGGGCTCCCTCACTGAGGCCGAGGCCCATGACTTCCTCCTGGGACCAGCACATTCCTCGAGTGGGATCTTCCACACAGACCCTCTGAATCAAGGGTCCACCTGCCAAGCTCCAGAGGGACTTACCTCTTGTGGGTGGTAGCCTCCAGTTCAAAAATGTCAAAGTCCCAGAATTCCTCATTTTCCATGGTTTGAGTTATCTGTGATGGGACGTCTTGAAGGGAGATGGGATTGATTATCCTGCTTGAAATCTGGTGAAGGTCTACAAAGTGGTGCAATTTGCAAAACAAAATCAGTAGGCTTTATGAAACTAGCCATTTCTTAGGCAGGGCTTTGCTCCTGAAGATTTATGAGATATTAAAGTTTTTGTGGAAGACAACCATTATTTGAGAGTTTTTATTGAAAAAGATGATTTTTCATTACTCAAACTTGATTACTATTATATATAGCTAATAAAGACCGAAAGAATTCAAAAGGAAGTACTCACTCTTTGATGAAAGAATATAGTCATTCCCTGATAGTCTTCGCAACCCATCCTGACAGAAAGCAGGGAAATGAGAAACAGTCATGAGTTTTTCCCTGGGACAGCTGGCTGCAGAGGACAGCTGAAGGGCAGTCCTCTCCACCAGTCCACCCAAGGTTCCCCTGTATCCTGCAGACAGACCCTGTGCTCATCACTGTGGGCAGCGTCCTGTCCACAGCCACTTCCGGAGAACACTGCATGCAGTTGAATGCTGGGAAGGGCTGGCCCTGCTGGAAGCTAAACTCGGGGGCACAATCAATAGGGAGGTGAGCTTCAGAGAAGACCCCAAAGCCCCAAATTCCTGTTTCAACCTCATGGCTGTTTTGGCCTCTTAGGGACAATTCCCCTCAGTTCCCTCCTCCTAATAGATACTGGGGTTCCTCTGAAAACTTGATCCTTTTCCACTCTCAGCAACTCACTTCCCCCACTTTGCGTGAAAAGCCTGAGCTGTGAAGGCTACTCACCAGTGGCTCCACCCAACACAGCCAAGCCCCGCCCCTCTTCTTCCTCTCCACCTTGCCTCTCACTCACATCCAGGATACTAGTCCACTGTTCTCACCTCTCTTTACAGGTTGGGGCGGCCTCAGAGTTTATGTATTATCAACTCTGGGAACCTTCAACCCTCCAAGGTCACTGCCATTTTTTAGGAATTCAAATTACCTCAGAAAACATGAATTGGGAGAGTGGGTGTAGTTAATTTCTAGCATTGGAATGAGCAGTGTTCCACAATGTTCTTTCCATGTGAAAACTCTGTATGAGACTGAGGCAGGTAGGAACCCCTAAAAGCCCGTGATAGAATGTTCCCAAACTCTTTTTTCCTAAGTCACCAGAGTTTGCATCAGATGCTTTAGAGGCAACACCAAGCCCTACCTCCTGGCACCTTTAAACACACACGGCAGAAGAAGGAGAGCATCGACTTTGTAATTTGATATGTAACATTTAATATTGATTTAATAGTCTACTTCCAGTTTTAAAAATCTTTTTAAAAAGGTGAGAAAGATTGAGAATTGCCTATGATGTCTAAAATACGCTCCGGCCACACTGAGGTCTCCCGCAGTGGTGAAAGGTAGGGGACCGTCTAGCCAGAGAGCAGCAGAGCCTGGACAACAGAGGACTTCAGGCCTTCACTGTCCTACATACAGAGGGTGCCGGCTGTTTCAGAGAGCTCTGGTGACGCCAGCCTAGAAGAACTGAAGTCTATGAATGATGGTGTGGGAGAAGAATACCGAAATTGCCACGGACTGCCAAAAGAACCAACACACCTGCCTAAGAAGAAGTACAGCTGTAACGCTCCTCAGAAGCAAGAATGGTGAGACTTTATCACACTAATTTTGGACATATTATCGGGAGGGACCAGTTCCTGGAGAAGAGCATCATGCTTGATAAAGTAGAGGGTCAGCAAAAAAGAGGAAGACCCTCAATGAAATGCACTGATCAGTGGCACCAACAGCAATGGGCTGAAACCACAGGTGGAAGGATGGTGCAGGACCGGGCAGTGTTTCACTTGTTGTACACGGGAATGCTATGCAATGGAACCGACTAGATGGCACCTGACAATATAAAGAAGTAACTGCTAAGGACACAAAAACAACCAGGCAGGCTAGCCTGATGGTATATACTTACACACACTAAGCCCCCTACAAGGTCGTTAGCATGAGGGTCATCATCCTTAGCACCGAACTGTGGGGAATATAATTCAGTGGTTCTTAGGATTTCCAGCACTCGGTCTAAGGCTTCCGTCACAGGCATAGGACTGCTTTCTTGGGCAGCGTTGATAATATTGATGACCTACAATAAGGAGAGAAGAGCTTAAAAACAATGGGAAGGTTCTCCAGGGAGTCAGGGCTGGCAACAGAGCCTCGTGTGAATTTGGTTGTGGTGGTGGTTGTGTGCGTGGGATCAGCTCCGATTCAATGATCTTGGAGAGGGTTTTTGAGGCTGCAAATCTTTACAGGAGTAGAAAAGTCTCATCTTTCTCCCATGTGATGGCTAGTAGATCCAAACTGCTGACCTTGTGGTTGGCAGCCCAGCTCACAATCCACTATGCTAGCAGGGCTCCCTCATGCTGATTTAAGACTGGAAAAAAGCATAGTGGTTACAAATCAGGCTGTGAACCACAAGGGCAAGCAGTTTGAAACTAGCAGCGGTTCTGCAGGAGAAAGATGAGGCTTTCTGCTCCCATAAAGATTTACAGACTCGGAAACCCTGTACAGGGTCGCTATGAGTCAGGACTGACTCCACGGCACTTAACAACAACAAAAAAATGTTCATGGCGGGAGCTCTGGTAGCGTAGTGTTTACAGATTGGGCTGCTAATCTCCAGGTCAGCAGTTCAAAACTACCAGTGGTCCCATAGAAGGAAGATGAGGCTTTCTGCTCCCGGAAGGATTGACAGCCTCAGAAACCCTGTACAGGGCCACTATGAGTCGGAACCAACTGCACCACCACCACCAAAATGTTCATGCCGCGCATCCTTTCTCTTCAGAGGAGGTGGCATCATGTGACTCTGCGCACTGCTGTTACTATTGCTGCAGGTCGCTGTTTCTTCTCAATGGAAACAATCTACTGGGAGGATGAGGGACGTCCATCCTGGGTGCAGACCAAACAAACTGCTTCACCTTGGTGATGGGCGCGTCAATTGTCATGGAATGGATCCGGGCCAAGGAGGAGTGTCGTCTCTGACTGGCAACTATGGAGAGAGGAATGCAGCAGTCAGGGTACGTACCACCTCGGGCACCTGCCTTGCCGGCCGATGGCTCCACAGCTGCCTTTCTTCCCCTGGCCACTGTGGGCGCAGCTACGTAATGCGTTTCCTTTCCATCCTGGTTAGTGCCTTGGTTCTGGCATAACCAACACTGCTGCCTTCAGTTCTAGGCACTAGGATGCACGTGTCTCCACAGACAGAACTTCTGATGTCATAGGCCAGAGAGAAAACAGGGGAAACAATCTAGCATGTCAAGGCCAAACAGTTAGCCTCTTTTTGTTTCTATAACACTAAGGCTTTATAACTATCCAACGAGCAGCTATCCAGGAGTAAAAATGTTCTGGGAGAGAATACCACAGGCCCTTTGTTTCATATATGGCAGGAGCAATAAATACAAGGCACCACTGGCTGAAAGATGTGAATTTCTGGTTAAAATTCTCAGGGTATCTTTTGGCGCATTCCACTGTTACATTTAATCGTATGTTTAACCTTGAATGAGGCAGGCAGCAAAGCTTAGGATCTAAAATTTGTTAATTTTCTGTTGCTTTTGCCAAGAGATGGTTCCTTTGGGGTGTGTGGGGAAAGCCGGGGCAATGTACAGGCAGGAGGGAGAAAAAAATCACATAGAGTTCTGTGTCTCACCATGAAAGCCTCACTGTCAGGCGAAGGCTGTTTACCAAAGACCTTAAAGGACCACAGGGTGTTCCACTGCCTGATGCGTCAGCTCCAACTGACAGATGAAGACACCAAGGTCCACAGAGCGGCACTGCCCACGTCTAACTGAGGGCCCCGAAGAGCCTTACAGTTCAGGAACCAACACACTTCTTCAGTCTAATTTTGGTGATCAGCCTAAGGTTGACAACTTTTCAAATCCATTTGATCACGTTGCCAATACAATGACTTGTTTTCAGTTCTAACATAATGAAAGCAACATGTTTATAAAAAAAAAAAAATCAAACAATATATAATAGTGGAGATGCAAGAAAAAGAAAAAAATTATCAAGATTATCATGACTGTGTGCAGAAAGTCTACAGAATCGACAAACACTACTCTTATAATCAAACAAGTACCTTCATTCAGGTTACTGGGGACATGGGTAATTTATGAAAATCAATTGTATTTCTCTGTATTAGCAACAACAATTGACCAATGGAAAAAAACACAACATAAGCAGAGTCCTGGTGTGGCACTGTAGGGTAAAGCACTGACTGCAAGGTCAGTTTGAATCACACGGTTGGCAGCTGAAACTCACCAGCTGCTGCTCGGAAACCCTATACAAGGTCAGAGGTTCAAGCCCACCAGCCGCTCATTGGAGACCTATGTAGGGCTGCTGTGAGTCAGACACGACTTGACAGCACTTAACAACTCTGACATCATAAGGAGTCCGGGTAGCATACAGGGTTAGGAGTTGGGCTACTAACTGCGAAGTCAGCACTGGGAAACTACCAGCTGCTCTGTGGAAGAAAGACAAGGCTTTCTGCTTATGTAAAGATGGACAGCCTCAGAAACCCAATACAGGGTCCCCATGACTCGGAATCAACACACAACACACAGTTACCAATACCACCACTCTGAGACCATAAACTATCATTAAAATGGAGCACAGACCTACGTGAAAGATAAAAAGTGAAAGCAAAGCTTCTGGAAGAAAACATAGAAGAGCATCTTTCTATGTTAGAAAAATATCTTAGTCAGGACACAGAAAGCATTAACCATAATACAAAACTGGTAAATTGGACTTAGTTTAGATTAAGAACTTCTGTTCATTAAAAAACACCAATTAAGAGAATGAAGAGACAGCAGAGAATATATGATTCATATATTCATTAGCATACCCACATGTAAAATAAAAAATTCCCCCAAACCAATGAGAGAAAGATTAATAACCCACATAACAAAGTGGGCAAAAGATACAATAGACTTCATGAAAGAATACCCAAATAGTAAGTATATGAAAAGGTGTTCAACCTTATTAGTCATCAGGAAAATAAAATCATCCCCACTAGAATGACTAAAATGGAAAAATGCCCAGTGTGGAAGAAATGAGAGAAACTGTCAAACATCAGTGATGGAAAGTAACTGCTAATAGATGGCCCTTCAGCTCCAGATAAAAGATGAACACACAATACTCATAAAAAAATACCCGTAGTATTATTAGTCATGGAAACAACATGAATGGTCCTTAAGACGAGAATGGATAATGCACTGGACCACAAGGTCAGTTTGAACCACAAGATCGGTTTAAACCATAGACTGGTGGTTCAAAACTCACCAGCTGCTCCTCTATACAGGTTCACTATGAGTTGGAACTGACTTGACAGCACTTAGTGACAACATGTAATAGAGCATTGTTGTTAGGTGCCTTTGAGTTGGTTCTGACTCACACAACCCTTTGTACACCAGAGACAAACACTGGCCAATCTGCACCATCCTTACAAACACTGCTGTGTTTGAGCCCATTGTGTCAACATATTTTTGAGGGTCTTCCTCTTTTTCACTGACCCTCTTTCTGCTTTACCACCCATAATGCTCTTCCCCAGGAGTGGTCCCTTCTGATGGACATCTCCAGAGTACCTGAGATAAAAAGTATCACCATCCTTGCTTTTAAAGGAGCATTCTGTCTGTACGTCTTCTAAGATACTTTTGTTCATTCTTCTGGCTGTCCATGGTATATTCAGTATTACGCACCAACAAAGTAATTTCAAATTCTTCAATTCTTCTTTGGTCTTCCTTATTCACTGTCCAACTTTTGAATGAATATGAAGAAGATGAAAACACCATGGCTTGTGTTAGGTGCACCTTAATGCTCAGAGTAACACCTATGCTCTCTAACACTTTAAAGAAGTCTTTGCCCAATGCAATACACTGATTTCTTGACTACTGCTTCCATGGGTGTTGACTGCAGATCCAAGTAAAATGAAATCCTTGATAATGCCAATCTTTTCTCTATTTATTATGATGTTGCTTATTAGTCCAGTTTTTGTTTTTGTCTTATGTTGAGGTGTAGCCCATACTGAAGGCTGTATGTTGTTGGTGTTAGGTGCTATTGAGTTGGTACTGACTGAGATCTTATGCACAAAATTACAAAACACTGCCCAGTCCTGTACCAACCTCACCATCGCTGCTACAGCTTGAGCCAGTTGTGCTGCCACTGTGTAAATCCATCTCGTTGATGATCTTCTTCCTTCCTCTTTTTTTTTTGCTGAAAACTCCACTTTACCAAATATTATGTCCTTCTCCAGGGACTGGTCCCTCCTGATAACAAGTCTGAAGTACAAGAGACAAAGTCTGGCCATCCTGGCTTCCAAGGAGCATTCTGGCTGTACTTCATCCAACATAGATTTGTTTGTTCATTTGGTGGTCCATGGTACTTGTAATATTCCCCCTCCAACACCATATTTCAAAAGCATCAATTCTTCTACGGTTTTCCTAATTCACTGTCCAGCTTTTGCATGCATACGAGGTTACTGAAAATCCATGGCTTGGGCCAGGTGCACCTTAGTCCTCAAGCTGACATCTTTGCTCTTCAACACTTTAAAGAGGTCTTGTGCAGCAGACTTGCCTAATGCAATCATTTGATTGCTTGACTATTGCTTCCATGAGTGTTGATGGTTGATTCAAGCAAAATTAAGTCTTTGACAACTCAGTCTTTTCTCCATTTATCTTGATGTTATTTATTGGTCCAATGGTGAGGATTTTTGTTTTCTTTCTATTTAGGTGTAACTCAGACCAAAGGCTGTGTGGTCTTTTATCTTCATCAGTATTTTAAGTCCTCTTCACTTTTAGCAACCAAGGCTGAATCATCATCTGCATATACAGTTTGTTACTGAGTCTTCCTCCAGTCCTATTGCTCTGTCCTCCTTTATACAGTCCAGCATCTCAGATTTGCTCAACATACAGATTGACTAGATCAGGTAAAAAGGTACGCCAGTGCACACCTTTCCTGATTGTAAACCATGCAGTAGCCCCGACTTGTTCCGTTCAAACAACTGCCTAAGGGCTCTGCACAGTCTCTGCATGAGCACATGTAAATATTCGCTCTTGTCTCTGGCTTCTTTCACTTATTGTAGTATTTTTGAGATTTCACATTGTTAGGTGTATCAGCAGTTCATTAATGTTAGTTAAAAAACAGAACAAAACTATGGCCTATAGGATAAGCACTGCTGCTTACACATCAAGGTTGGTGGTTCAAACCTGCCAGGATCCGTGGAAACCCTCTACAAGGTGGCTAGAATTGGAACCAACTCGTTGGCACTTAACAACAGTGATAAACAGCTGGGCTGGCTATGTGCTGTAGTTGGTTCTGACTCACAGCAAGCCTGTATATGGTTTCTGAGGCTGTAAATATTTACAGGAGCACAAAGCCTCATATTTCTCCCATGGAGTGCTTGGTGGACTCGAACTGCTGACCTTGCAGTTAGGAGCTCAATATGTAACCCACTACACCACCAGGGCTCCTTAAATACTACTTAGTAAGAAAACATAACTACTGATACATTGAACAGCATGGAGTCTCAAAATAGTCCAGTGAGAGAAAAAAGCCAAACACAAGAGTACGTACTGTCCAATTCCATTTATATGATGTATACTGCTCACTGTCATCCACTTGATTACAACTCATAGCGACTTACTGGACAGGGCTGTCCTATTGTACAAGGCTATAAATCTTACCGGGAAAAACAGCCTTACTTTCCTCCCTTTGAGTGGCTGGTGGCTTTGAACCACTAGCTACGTGGTTAGTAGTCTAATGCTTGACCCACTGTGCCACCAGGGCTCTTTACATGAAGTACAAGAACAGGCAAAATTTATGGTGATCAAAATCAGTGGTGAGAGATGTACATGTGTGTTTATATACAAGGTAAGTAAAAAAATATTGCTACTAGGGTTCCCGTTCATTCATATATGGGATTCTTCTAAACAAAACGTGTTTAAATAAGTTGCTGATCAGTAGATGGCTGCAGACAAGTTCTTCCAGTTAGAACCTGACTTCACCTCATTAGGGTCTAGCCTTCAAACAAGGTGCAATCAAGACAACAGCTCCTGTGGGGTTCTACTGGGTGAGTTAAATTCAAAATGAAGAGAAATCTCTTCAGATTATGGCACCTGGTTTTTGTGTGATTCCAGAGGGGTCAGGTATTCTTGATAGATTTTCTCAAAGGACACAGAATGACGACAGTTTTAAGAAAACTGAAAATGGTATTGGTGAGGAAAAGGGCAGGAAAGTTGGGCTGTGGAATTTTTTCCCACCACGACAACGCATCTGCTCATTCCCTGAGGGTAACACAGACTTACAAGACTTTCCTGAGAAACCTTACCCCAGGATCTTGCCCCTTTGTGTTTCCAAGACTCAAAGGACATTTAAAAGGAAGCCCATGTGAGTCCATCCAGGATGCCCAAACAGCAGTTTCGATGTGTAAGTTGAAGAGTGCAAAGTTCTTTGGGAAGGGCTGTTGCTAAGTGCTGCTGAGTTGGTTCCAACTCATACCAACCCGGTACAGGGTTTCCAATGAGCAGCTGGTGGATTTGAACCACCAACCTTGCGGTTAGCAGTCCAGTGGAAACACCACCTTCCGAAGTGTGTAGACCTAGCTGGAGGGTATGTGGAGAAACAATAGCTTCACGTCTTGTTATCTTTGTTTAATGTTACGTTTGACTCACTTTATGGCAATATTTCCTTTATTGTGGTGGTCTGGAACCGAACCTGCGGTATCTCTGAGGTATCCCTGTATTTGCCTCCACACTAGCTATACAAATTTTTCTTTACTTTAAAAGCATTATCAGATTGTTCGGGAAAAAACAAAAAAAAAACAACCCAGACCTTAGAAAAAAAAATTACAAAAATTACAGGTAGTCCCTGACTTATGAAGGTGTTCACTAATAGGATCTGATTTAAGTTGAATACCTCTTTTTCTTTTCAGCATTTTTATTATTATTGCTCTTGTAATGAGTCTGTTTAGAAAGCTTATCTTTGTCTTTGGGGGTTGGAAACATTACACATTAACATCTCTGCGTGAACATCTGAGGATGGTAACACTGTGTAGTACAAAGACAGGTGGTTCATCATAACCTAAATACATCATAAATTGGAAACTATCTGTGTAGTCCAATTAGAACTTCATTTGTGCTTGTTGAGTCTTTCATTATCCAAAAATTGGGCTCATACCCCTAAAAAAGGCAAGCTTACTGGCTAACTGCAACTCACAATGGAATGTATTTTGAAGAAATAGAATATGTTACCTATACAATTAAAACAAATATAAATTGACATCTTCTGCTTTTATAGTTTAGGAAATAAACAATAAAATTTTTTAGGAAATAAACAATAAAATAAGTAGGAAAAATGCATCTTTTCTTTCCCTCATTCCCTTGACTTCTTTAAAAGGCTGAGAATGGAGCCCAATGGTAAGAGTTGGGTGGGTAGGGGAAGCGGAGAAGAAGGCAAACGTTTCCAGAGGGTACCCTTCCCTCTCATGAACTGGAGGTAGACAGTTACCGGAAGATAAGACTGGGGAGGGGTCCAGTGTTCAACACTGAAACAAGAATATTCTATTGTCTTTGGCACCTACCTTCACCTGATCGGCTGGCAAGAGATCTGACATCTAGTGAGTCTTTTCTCTTGTCTTTAAGAAGGTTGCCGGTCTGCATATCTGTGGAAATAATTAAATGAGAAATTACTTCTTCATAGAGATTTGAGCAACGTAATAGCAAAGGTTACCAATCTGAAATTACAAAGCTAAATAAGACCAGAACACAATTTAAGATGCCACAAAAATCAACACAGTAAACACAGATGAAGAATATGAACAACTGGGCTTTGAGGGGTTGGCGCTCTCAAAATGCTCCAACAAGCGCAGCCCTAAGTGCTTTTCAGTTTCCTGATCATATCATTCTGGAGTTCCGAAGTAATAAAGCACAGAACTGAATTCAAGGGAATGTCTCCTACCTGATTTCTAGTACGTAGTTAAATGGGCTTGAACCACCAGCCTTGTGGTCCCCAGTCCAGTGCTTATCACACAGAGTCACCATGCTTCCACCATATTTCAATACTATTGAGTTAAATGGTGGGTAATTCATTTCTGATCCCCATCTACCCTTGCCACAAAAGAAAAAAAGAAATCATTTTCTTCTCTAGAAAATAAGCTAGGGAAGGACATTCCTTTTTCTAAGAACTCTGGCTTGGAGCATATTTCCAATGTTTATCTTCTGCCTAAGCACGTGTCCCCAGTTCTGTGAAAGCACACCACTGCTCTTCTAGGCTCCAAACAGAAGGCGGTTTTTGATACCTCTGACCCCTTACACATACTAGTCACTTAGGAGGCGAGGTTAACCCTCCTTCGTGTCACCTTCTCTTCACAATTGCTGGTGCCATGAGTGGTGCTAGATGGTTTTCTGGGCATCACCAGACAGAAGCCCAGTTGAGACAGAGATCCCAATCCTCATTTCACAGATGAGGAAACTGGGAGCTACCATGCAGGATGACGTTAGCTCATATCCTTCCTGTCCACATGGAGAATTTTCTCTGTTGTATCTTGGCTTTCTTGCCTGCCACCCCTTCTTTTCCTGCTCACAAACAGGATCTGAATGCAGCCCCTTAGTACTCTCCTTCCCACATCAAGAAAAGTTCTTCACTTGCTATCTGTCTCTTGCCCCACTGCAGCCGCCTTCTCGTTGTCAAAGCCACTGATTAATTCCTTGTTGCTAAGTATGAAGACCACAGTTCAATTCTTTTGACGTCACTGTGGTACCAGACAGATTGGATCATACTTCCTGGAAACTCTTGGTTTCTATTAGTCCACTTTCTCCTAGTATTCCTTCTCCTTTCCTTCATCAGTTCCTCTTTCCCAAACACCTGTGTGTTTCCACAAGTTCCATTCTTAGCCCTTTTTCTCAGTCAATACAACCTCCCTGGGAGATCTCCCGCCTTCCAACAACTTTAATGAGTTCCTGTGTGTTGTCTCCCACTGTAGGCCTCTCTCCTGAGCCCTACACTTGCATCTTACCATTTCTATTTGAATAAACCTACGACACTTCAAATGAACTCATTATCCCAAACTCATTTTCTTCCCTACCTGCTTTTAATCCCAGATCATTGAACACCACCTACATTTTTGCTTCAGTTAGAACAAGTCATCAACGATTTCTCCCCACTCAATCCTCGTCTCCTTCAACTTGTGATTGACATATATGCATTCTACCTCTACCATCTCTCTCCCATCTGTTGCTTGCTCTGAACCAGCCTCTCAGGTTAGTCCCACAGCCCCGAATCTGGCCTCATCAGTCATTCTCTACAGGTAACCCAGCAATCCTTCTGAAACATAAACGTGGCCAGGTCACTCCCAATTAAAGTGCTTGAAGAACTCACTGTGGTCTTTAAGAAAACTTCAAATTTCTCAGGGTGGCCTCTAGAGTTCTACAAGATCTGGATCTCCTTTCTCTAGCCATCACGAACTAGTTCTGATATGCTAACACCTGCATAGCGATTACGAGTCGGGCTGCAAACTGCAAAGTCAGCAGCTTGAAACTACCAGCTGTTCCACGGGAGAGAAGGATAAGGTGTTCTGCTCCCATAAAGATTTACAGTCTCAGAAACCCTGTACAGGGTAGCTATGAGTTGGAATCAACTCCATGGCACATAACCACCACCTCCCAACACCTATGAGGAGTCTTGGAGTTCTGATGTGGTGGTGTGGGTTAATGTGCCAGATTGCAAAAGCTGTTTGAACTGCAAAGTTGGCAGTTCAAGCTCACCAGCTGCTCTTTGGAAACCCTATACTGGGTCGCTATGCATTGGAACCGACTCAATGCCACTTAGCAACATGAGTCTTGGTGTGGCAATGCAGGATAAGCACTAGACTGCTAACTACAAGGTCAGTGGTTCAAGCCCACCAGCTGTTCTTCGGAAACCCTAAACAGGGTGGCTATACGTCAGAACAGACTGGACAGTATTTAACGACAATTCACCTGTGAATGAGCCCAGAGATACAACAATGAAGTGGTCAACTGCTGACCAAAAAAATGATGGTTTGAACCCAGCTAGCAGCTCCACAGGAGAAGCCCTATCCATCTAGTCCTGTAAATATTAGCGCCCAGAAGCCCTAGGGGGCAGTTCTACTGTTACATGGGTCACTATGAGTAAAAAAAAATCTACCTGACACCATCTAACACCTCCCAAAGTTTCACACTTGGCACAAACTGATTATTGTTGTTAGGTGCCAACGAGTTGGTACCAACTCAGAGACCCTATGCACATCAGAACGAAACACTGCCTGGTCCTGCGTCAACCTTACTATCGTTGCCACGCTTGAGCCCATTGATGCTGCCACTTTGCCAATCCATCTTGTTGGGGGTCTTCCTCTTTTTCTCTGAACCTCCACCTTACCAAACATGATATACTTCTCCAGCGACTGGTCCCTCCTGACAATATGTCCGAAGTATGAGAGACCAAGTTTGGCCATCTTGGCCTCCAAGGAGCACTCTGGCTGCACTTCTTTCAACACAGATCTATTAGTTCTTTTGGTAGCCCATGGCACTTTCAATATTCTCCTCCAACACCATAACTCAAAAGCATCAATTCTTCTACGGTCTTCCTTATTCACTGTCCAGCTTTCGCATGCATATGAGGTTATTGGAAATACCATGGCTTGGGTCAGGTGCACCTTAGTCCTCAAGCTGACATCTTTGCTCTTCAACACTTTAAAAAACCCTGTTGGCAATTCTACTGTCCTGTAGGGTTGCTCTGAGTCAGAGTCAACTCGTCTGACACCACTTGTCTGTCAGTTTGTCATACTGCAGTGGTTTGTGAGTTGCTGTGATTCTAGAATCTATGCCATGGGTATTTGAAATACCATCTGGGTCACCCATGGTGGACAAGTTTCAAATGAACTTACAAACAAAAACAGACAAGGAAGAAGGAGTGATGAACTACTTTTGAATATTTAGTCACTGAAAACCTTTTCCTGAGAGGTCTGAGTAAAAGAAGGTGGGAGAAGATACTGATAGGATGCCATGATTCAGTTGTGGACATTAGAGTTAATTATAATTGTGAAAACCTGAAACTATCAAGGGTATAAAATGCACCATCTCAGAAGCAGGAGGAAGGGATCTTACTACCATCAAGAAGAAGGACCTAGGAGTGAAGCATGTTATTTGAACCCCAAGATTCCCTATGCACAGAAGCTCCTCAACCCAGGAACAGTGAGCTGTGATACCAGAGAAATGGCAGAGGAGCAAGCGCAGAACCAAGAACCAGAGCACAAGACAGAGCAGTGGGTCTCCCAGCCCATGGAGTAGTTACAGCTGAGTGGTTTGGGCAGGAAGATACTTGTCGAGTGGGATGTCTCTAGGTACCTTGCCACGCTTGCACCCATTGATGCCTTCGGGCTGAGGCTTATGGTGTGGAGTGCTATGTCCTGTGGGCATTTATCAGCAGCTAACAGGAACAACTGTGTCCTGATTCTATATTTATAACTTGTTAACTTTCCAAATAAACTCCTAACTGTGAATACTGTCTCTGAGTTCTGTGTAGCCACTGCAATGGACTGTCAAACCCAGTAGAGAAGCAGAGAGTTGTGGGAAGGATGATTTGGTGTCTTTCTTTTGCTTTTTTTACACAGGTGCTCAATAAATACACACCTGTTACTGCAAACACCTCCACATTTCAAAACCAAACCCAACCCTCTACCTTACAGTTGACTGTGACGCAGAGCAACCCTTTAAAACAGCAGAACTGCCCAATAGGGGTTTCAAGGCTGTAATCTTTAAGGAAGCAGACTGCCAAATCCTTCTCCCATGGAAGGCTGGTGGGTTGACACCACTGAATTTTCAGTTAGCAGCCAAGCAATTAACCACTCTACTCAATTCTGTATTACACCCTTGCTCAAAAACCTTCAGTTCCTCACAGATAAAGAAGAACTTCGTGGCACTCAAGGGCAGGCATAATCTGCCTGCACCGCCTGCCTTTCAAAGGTCATCTCTCACTTGTCACAACAAGTGTGGCGGCTGTGGCAGCTCAACCGAGCCACCCTACATCTTTGGGGCAGTCTTGGCACCTTCTCATTCTGCCTGTGACACATGATACTGTATTTACCCTCTGTAAATGCTCACTCCATCCAATTTCACCTCCATGAGACCACATATAGAACAAAGTGTGTCTCCTTCCTCTGAGCTTCAAGGAGATTACAGCTGTCCAAAACAGCTGCTTGACAAGACTATGTGGTGCATTTAGTATTTGCTCTTTCATTCCTCTTTCTTTTATGTACTCAATATTTACTGGGCACCTACTTACTACGTGTCAGGTCCTAAGTTAGGCATTAAGGATATGAAGATGAATAAGATATGGCCTACGTAATCAAATGGGAAGGGTCTACAGGTGAACTAAGGTGAGTAGACTAGAAGTTTAAGTCCTAATTTTGAAGGACAGAAAGAGCCCAGATGATACAATGGCACTGGCTCCCCTAACCAGGGAGGCAGACAGGGTAAGAGTTATGACTTGTAGATGCAGCTAAAAAAGGAAGGCATTTCCAGGAAAGCTGATGGTGGCCGGAAAGATGCAAGACACAGTGCTTGGATCAGACAGGTTGTGGTAAGAGTGGAAGGAAAATACAATGGAATATTACTCAGTTGGAGAAATGAAGTTTTTACACATGCTACTTTATGGATGGACGTTGAAAATAATATGTTGAATGAAATAAATTAGACATAAAGGGACAAATATGGTAAGGACCTCACTTATACAAAGTATCCAGGATGGCAAATGCACAGAGATGAAAGAATTAACAGTGACCAGGGCAGCATATGGTTCTGTTGTGCATAGGGTCATCGCTATGAGTCGGTACCTACTGGATGGCACCTAACAACAACAACAGGGGCAGGTGGGAAGGGGGGAGGGGAAATGATTGCTTAAAGGATACTGAGTCACAGTTAAGGTGATGTACAACATGGTGAAAGCAATCACTGCCCCTGAACTGAGCATGAAAAATGGCTGAACTGGGAAGTACCTTGTTACACATACTTTACTACAGCAAAATCAAGATGGCAGGGAGACAAAGGGGGGTTTAATTCCTACTTAAAACTTTCAAAGCTACCATAACCTCTCTGTCAATACTAGATCCTCCTGCTCCCAGCAGTCCTGGGGGGATCCCTGCCTGGGGCACTTCAGGGGTAATCCTTAGATAAGGTTGCTAAGCTTTTGAGATGCTGTTCCCAGCAGGTCAGGTGGACTGTGACTCAGTCCTGTCTCCTCACTGCCTGGGTCTCACAGCTGTGCTCAGGGAACCCCCAGAGGAGGAAGGAGTTAAGTGTCAGGTTTACAGTCCCAGTAGGGCAGGAAGCTCCTGAAAGGGCAAAGAGCATGGTACCCCGTATTTAGTGAGCGCTCAAGAAATACGGGTGAAATCTGCATTTCTGGGCCTGTCAGTGGACAGTGCTGGAAAGGCTGGAAAGTGGACAGACTGGGGTGTGGGCTCCACACCTCTGGGATCCTTGGCTTCCCGTTCTGTGAAAGGGGTCCTTACACTCTTCATTTTTCAGTCCAGAAAAATGAGCAACATTTTCCTTAGCCTGCTGGTTAAGCCCAGGAAACCCTGGGAGCAGTGAAGAGGGGCTTTATTCCATTCTCTCATTAACTCTGGGGCCTGGTGGACTGTGATCCATTGTAGATACAAAGAAGCTGAGGCCCAAGCCTCTCCACTGAAAGACAGAATTTCAGAGTGCTCACTTAGATAACCCCACTATCCAAGTGCTCATGGGGTGCTTGCTCTGCAGAGCTTAGCTAAGGTGCAGCATTGGTGCTGGGCCCTTTCACTTGATTAGTTAGTTCTCTTCTTCTCAGGAGTCTTCCTCACAGGACCCAGCTCACTGGCTGGCTCGCTAGCTCCTTCCTCCACGGGAGCATAGCCAGCTTCCCGTCCAAAGACCAGGCTAGCCATCCTAAGTTTCCTTTAACCGTGTCACTGATGCTGCCCTCCACTCCCAGCACTGTGGTTTCCTGGCTGCTGGACCTCAAACTGTCAGTTTACCTTTCTGAGCTCCGTTTCTTCCTCTGTAATAAGGGATGCTGACAGCTCTACTTACATCACAGAGCTGTTTTGAAGAATTATAAAATTCAAACGCAGGTATACTACGTGATCTTACAGAATAGAGGTCACCGAACTTACTTCTTCCACTTCTGAGGCTCTCGTCAACCCTGCTACCTGGCTCTGCTCTCACCACCCTCCTGAGTGCACATCTACAGATTACAAGGGGAGCGTGGCCGCTCTGTGCGGTAACAAGGTCAATGGTTCGAGCCCACCAGCTGCTCCAGGGGAGAAAGATTTACAGCCTCAGAAACCCTATACAGGGTTAGTGTAAGTTGGAACTGACAAAATGGCACACCCTCACCGAACTCTTAAGTGCAAAATGCAGCCGTGCCCACTGCTGGCTGTGTATTCCCTCACTCTTGTCTCTGTGCGGTTCCCCTCTGCCCACTGTTTTCCCCATTATCCTCCTGTTGGCTTCAGTGACACACTCTGGTTTGCCTCCTTCCTCTCTGACCTCTTCTTCTCAGCATCTGCTTCTTCCCTCCTGAAATGCAGTGGTCTCCAAGAGTCTGTCTTATGCACCCCCTTCCTTTTCCTGCTTACCCTCTTCCTTGGTTAATGGCAGGTTCCCGCTCCCTTCTATTGTTCCTGATTCAATCTCATCAGTTGCGCATCTGCATTCCTGCTGATACTGTTGCTGGCCAGCAACGTTTGCACATCTGGTCCTAAGCTCTTTGCAGAAACCCACTCACTGCCACACCAAGTCGATTCCAACTCATTTCGGTCCCACAGGACAGAGCACAACTGCTCCACAGGGTTTCCAAGACCTTCAATTTTCAAGGAGCAGATGGTCTCATCTTTCTCCCACAGCCAGTGGGTTTGAACTGCTGACCTTGTGAATAGCAGTCCTGTGCTTAACCCACTGTGCCACCAGTTTCTCTTTGCGGAACACAGCAAAACAGGTTTTGGTGCACAGTGGAAACTGAAAAGACATCTCTAGAATAAACAGAGGAAACGAACCCATCTGTCTGTCCAGCGGAACCTCATAGGCAATGTGTCCCAAATTCACCTTCTTCACCGACTCCCTTTTACCTACCCATTATCACCAACGCTTAAGTCTCCAGGCTCAAAGTGACCTTCCTGACACCCTTTCCTCTCTGGTCTCACACCATTGCCACATCTGGTCTTTCTTCTCTCTCCCTACGGCCACCACCTTATTCTGCCCTGACCACTGCTTTCTCTCCTTTAAAACATGGTAGTGTAGGTCGTCTTGCCTCTGTGCCCTCCTCCTTCCATGTAACCTGTGTTACATACATGTTTCCAAGAACTCAGATGTCATCCTATGACACTCTTCTCAGAAATCCTGACATGGTCTACTACCTACAAATGAAAATCTTCATTTCCAACCTAACATTTAGGATCTTTCCTATAAGGAGTTTCCATAATTCCAACTCTTCTTTCCACCTGGACTCTTTTACCAGTCAAAATTTCATACTTGTTCTTTCTAGAAGATTCTCAATACTTTGCTGTTTATGTTTTTAATTCTGGGATGCTTTTCCTTCCATATCCCTCTTCTTATTCAAAGCCACCTGTCCCCATCTGAGCGCCTTCCCACTTCCTCGGATCCACTGTGGATCATCACACCTTATGCTGTGGTTCTCAGTCCCAATGTGTCTCTCTGTCCACACTAAGCCATGGGCACTCCTGGGCACCCAGAGAAACTGTCCCAGTGTGTGGGCCAGAGCTTTGAAGTCAGCCATTCCAGGTCCAAGGACCACTTCCTAGATGATCGTCTCTGGGAATTACTTAGCCCCCTTCAGTTCCACCTGTGTACAAAGGGAACTGCATCTATCAAATGCCTGCCTTACTGGTTACACAAGGTGTGAATAAAATACACCGTGCACACATGAAGCACCCATCACAGCACCTTGTACATAGTAAATGCTCCGAAAAGCACACAGCAAATATCCCTAGAGTTAGAGTGACTGAATTGCTCGGGAACGGAGGAGAGGATGGAAACCAAGATTTTCTCCCTGGAGACTACTTCAGAGTGGCTGGGCACCAGAGCTCTATGCCTGGCCATGGCAGACTGGCACTCAGTGGACAGCCTCTTGCTTGGTGCTGGAGTGAACCTTCACCATCGGAGCCCATACCTCTTATCTAGGAAGGAGAGGCTTGCTGAAGTCATGACCCACATTTGAAGGAAAGAAGCAACTCCGGCTAGGGAAAAGCCTTTGCATGACCCACACGTGGGCCTGAGCAATGGCAGTCCAAGGACACAGACAGGAGGGGAGGCCAGTCTGATGGAGTCCAGCTACTTCCCCATGGGCTGGTAGTAACTACAGTCAGGGGACACTAAGATGTCTTTGCTACAGTACTGTGGCTGGACCACCAACACCATCTGCCTCTGAAGGCACGATCAGGTCATCAAACCACATTTCACTTAAGACTTCTTCATATAAATTCACACAGCTGAGGAGCCCAGTTCTTTCTCACAGGCTGAGACCCATCCCAGGGTGGGTAGCACAGGATCTGGCAAATGCAGGCTCAGGTCCTTCAACTCACCAACCAGCTTGGGGAGCCCGGGAGAAAAACTGCTGGTATGGTGCTGGGGAAACACAGCTCAACTTGGCATGAGGCAAGCGTGTCTGAAATGTCTGCTTTCATTTTAAGTGCTTAATAAACCCTAAAAATGAAGATGGGTACTATACCTGTGAGACTGTCGGACTGAACACATTCAGCGATCTTCTCAGCCTAAAAAAATGAATTTGAAAAGCTGTTAGTTCTGATTGCTTCATTACACGATAAGGAAAATGTCTCTGGGCACAGGGTCCCTCTCTGGGCACAGGGTCCCTCTCTGGGCACAGGGTCCCTCTCCTTACATACCTTACTGTTGCCATTGCATACTCTGATAATGGACACATAGTGTCTAATTTTTCTGCAAGTAGAAAACAATGTATTATTTCTCTCCAGACCCTCTAAGCCCATGGATATACAGCTGATTTTTCTTTATGAAAATAGCACCCGCCCCCCTTTCACATGAAATGCTTTGGGGAGAGCATTTCTGCTACTTGTGACCATGGCCACCAATAATGGAACAAGAGTCTTCAGTTATCTTCTAGCATCTACGTACAAAAAAAGTAACTCTTCAGAAAAAAAAAACAACCCAAAAACAACAAAATTCCTCTTAAGTCACTATAACAGACTTCTTGGAGTCCTGGGGATGGAGCTGGGTTTTGTCACATCTCTAAACAGTTCTGAATTCCTCTAAGATGTCACCAAGGTCCTTAAGCTATGGAAATCCCTAAAACTCAATGTAGGACACCGAGCTCCCGTTAAGTGCTGTCTTCTAAGTTCTGACTCATAGCATTCCTGTGCTCAGCACACCAGTTAATAAACAGGGTCTTTAGTTCCTTTAACATAATTATTATTATACTGATGCACTTCTCCAAGTTCCAACAATCTGCCTCTGGGCAATTGTGGAAACCCTCACTATTTCCCCATTTAACTCACTAGCTAGCGGGGAATTCAAAGGGTTCATCTCAGAAGCTGCTGACTTTTCATGTTTCCCTCCCTGATAATCAAATCCCTATAGACTTATTACCAAAACAAAAACCAAAAAACAAAAAAACCCTGGAAAGAAATAAAAGTGCAAACAAAGACACAGAACACACAGTCCAAACAGATCTGGCTTCCCGAGGCCGTCACCAACTGGCAGAGAGTGCTGAGGTCCACAGTCTGGCTCTGCCATTCGTCAGCAGCCAGACCTTGGGCGAGAAACCTCACCACTCTATGCCTCAGTTTCCTCATCTGTAAAACTGAGGTGGCCACTGTGCCGCCCACACAGGGCTGCAGTTAGGACAAGCTGCCTGCCCAGAGAGGGAAAGGAGTGGTGCCCAGTAGCAGCCATCACACCCAGAAGGCCACGCTGTCTCCTGCTCTGTCTCTCTTTCACTGTCAGCGATCAGAGCACACACTAGGCATCATTTTGTACATTCTGCTTTTTGCATTTAGCATTCCATCATAAACCTTTTTTCTCATGATTTAATTTCTACGATCTACGATTTCTAGTGGTGATATATTGTATTGTTGGGTGCTCTATAAGATCTGTCATCATTTTCCACTTTTCATATGATTTCATTTATTTTCTGAAACAAATCAAAGACGATGTTCAGGCTCCTGATATACATATCACCTTCCACTTTATAGTCACATCTCATTTACATGAAGGTTTTCATAAACATCAGTCATTCCAAGACTTTGTACCTAACTTGATAGGCCTATGCAGAAGTAGCACACAGCTGTTGTCCACGGCCCCGGAGTCACTTGTGACTCGCATGTTTCTGAGCAGAACGATGCACGGGGTTTTAAAGGCCATGACCTTTCCCACACAGGTTGCCAGACCTGTCTGCTGAGTTGCCTTCTGGCTAACAGTCAAGTGTGTTTTTAAAATCAGAATGTCATTTACTACGGTGTGTGATCTTTCAAATTCGATGAGAAAATCGTTGAAATAAAGAGAGTCTGCAGTCAGTGTGCTCAGCACACCAGTTAATAAACAGGACCGTGACTTAAGTAGCATCCAGCGTGTCCATGCAGTTGGTGCTAATCTGTCCTGATCAGTCGGCTCTGGGCCTCCAGGGGAGGGTCAGGCTGAAGCCCTGTGGGAAGGTCTGTTCATGACAGCACCCTGACCTTGTTACGAGTCTTCCTTTTGGGCTTCTGCACACAGTTTGTAAGTGTTCAGAGCAAATTCTGTAACAACCCTACACACGGTATGTTACTGAAGTAGTTGTTTTTCCCACTTACCCTCCCTGTCCAACGACAGGTATTATCTTCACATTTTGTTGTACATTATCTCCGTTTTTCTTTTTGGCACAGTAAATTCCTTGCCATTCCTATAAACAGAATATAAGCATCATTATTTGCGTTCAAAACCAAAACCTAAAACCATTTTCCACGTCAGGTTCTGACTGAGTTACCATTCCTCTAACAATTAGAAGAGAGAAAGTTTCCCAACACCAAACACAATTTTGGATACTGTGGTATTCTGACTTTTGTAACCAATCTAGGAGGAGATGGACTTTGGATTGGAGCCTCCCCCAGCACTTCTTCTCCTGGGGTGGTGACAAAAGTCAGAACACCACAGTTAAGGGGTCACCATGTCTTTGGGGGCTGCTTAGCAAGAAGTACCCTGAGCCCATTGATGAAGAATTCCGCCCCCAGCCCCCCAAACACACAGGCTCCTTCTCTCTGCAGGAGGAGGGAGTGTGGCCTTTGCCTGTATTCAGGGGAGAAGAGGGGCTCAGGTCTGGGGCAGAGGAGGGATCATGCTACGACCACCACCTTGGTGCGCTGCCACCAGCTTCTCAATCTGCACAGTTCCGGGCCTTTGCAGGTGAGTGAGGATTTTGGTCTCTCGGCAGGTATGGTGAGGTTGTTGAGCTAACAGCCAGGACCAAGCTCAAGTAGAGCCAATAGGTAAGACCTCAGAGCCTAGGGAAATCGCATGAGTCTTAGTCTTGAGATCAGAAAGCATATGGGCGGGCATTCTCTGGGGAAGCACTGCAGTCTGAGAGGGCAGGACATGACTGTAGGGGGCTAGGAGTGAGAGAAGAGGCGGCACGTGGTTCCCCTATTCTTGGGGTCCTGGGGATGGAGCTGGGTTTTGTCACATCTCTAAACAGTTCTGAATTCCTCTAAGATGTCACCAAGGTCCCTAAGCTATGGAAATCCCTAAAACTCAATGTAGGACACCGAGCTCCCGTTGTTAAGTGCTGTCTTCTTAGTTCTGACTCATAGCATTCCTGTATAGGGCTTCTGAGGGGCAGCTGGTGGGTTTGAACTGCCGACCCTGTGGTTCGCGGTCCAGTGCTGATCCTACAGCACCACACTTTCTAAGTCTTCCAGAGTCCTTTACCCTTAGGACTCAAAGCTGACCTAAGCAGGAAGTGGACCGCCACAGGCAACTTCATTGGTTTATTTGAAGTCTTCTGTTCAGGCTGGCTCCCATACAAGGTGAATTCTAAAATATTCTGTTTGGGGCATAGTGACCTGCATCCAAATCACCTGCCTCTTTCAGCCCTCTAGTTAGGGGGCAGATGCCAATGGTAAGAGCTCATCTTCAGATTCTCTAAGATCAAAGAGAAAGCAGGGCACACACACTGACGTAAGCAAAAGGTGATAACCGCTCCAATTCTGAAAACAATGGACACAAGGAAAGGACTGTACTGGAACCGGACAGAGGAGCCAGCTCGGTGCTTAGTTTTCTTAGGAGCAGAAGGGAGGTACAGGCCTGATCTGGATTCAATTATGTTCCCAACAAAGACACGTTGAAGCCCAGTCTTTGTACCTGTGACTGTGACCCACTTTGGAAACAAGACTTTTATTCTGTTACAACATTAGTGTAAGTTTGTCCTAGAACTAATTCTTTATGAGTTCTGCTGTTGGTAGTGGTGGTGTGCCATTGAGTCGGTTCTGACTTACAGCAGCCCTGTAAAGGGTTTCCAAAGCTGGAAATCTTTGTTGTTGTTGTTAAATGCCGTAGAGCCATTTCTGTCCATATTGACCCTATGCACAACAAAAGGTAACACCACAATTGCTGATATGCTTGAGCCTACTGCTGCTGCCACTGTGCCAATCCAGCTCATTGGGGATCTTCCTCTTTTGTGCTGACCCTCCACTTCAGCCAACCATGATGTCCTTCTAAAGGGACTGGTTCCTCTTGATAAATGTCCAAAGTATGAGAAACACAAGTCTGGCTATCTTGGCTTCTACAGAGGCTTCTGACTGTAATTCTTCCAAAACAGGATTTGTTTGTTCTTCTGGCAGTCCACAGTACCTTTAATAGTCTTCTCCAACACCATAGCTCAAATGCATCAATTCTTCTACAGTCTTCTTTACTCATTGCCCAACTTTCACATGCGTATAAGGCTGGCTTGGGGCCTCATCTTTCTCTCAATTCCCTGATCTCGTGTTTGCAGTAGAGTGCTTATTCTGCAGAACCACTAGGGCTCCTTCATTGTTGTTGTGCCTTGTGGAGTTGTTTTGAACTCACAGCGACCCTTATAGGGTTTTCAAGGCTATAAATATTGATGGGAGTAGATGGTGAGTGGTAGATTTGAACTACTGACTTTGAGGTTAGCAGCTCCTCTCATAATGTACTATGCTGCCAGGGCTCCTCCTACGCCACAGGGGAAGATACCATGTGACCATAGAGGCAGACCATCTACAAGGCTAGGAATGCAAGGGTAATCAGAAGGTAGAGGAAACAACGGAAAAGCTTTGCATTGAGCAGACACCCTTATTTTGAACTTTTAGGCCCCAGAGCTATAAGAAAACACATTCCCGTTCTTTAAAATCCCACTTGTAGTATTTTTGTTACAGCAGCACCGGGTAAATACAAAGAGGTTAACTAAAAAGTCCTAATGCAGTGGCTTTGAGGGGTGCTCAGCCTGGAGAAAGAGGCAAACAGGAACTCCTGAGCAGGAATGAGCAGGATGTCCTCCGCGAGGGGCTATGTCTGGAGCTCTTTATCCAGAGAGGTACAGGATAGAATATGATGATAACTGCACAAGTTCATCTACCAAAACCCCAAGGCTTCAAAACAGGTTCAGTCAAGCTGACACGAGAAGGGAACACACCTGAAATTGTAAAATGTGGGTGCACCAGGACGAAAACCAGAAGGAGGAAAGTTACGAGTTAAGAGTCCTGGAGTGGGAGACATGGAAGAGGCGTAGTGAGCCTTACAGCAGGCAGATGCAGAAAACTGGACCACGGCTAGGGCTGTGGAGCGCGACACACAAAGCAAGGTGGTGAGCCGCCATCTTTGAGACAGTTCCACTGTTTCTGAGCGCCGTCAAGAGTGCATCACCCTTGTTTTCTGAGCGGGAGATGAAGTTTCTAGCAGGGTGTCAACCCACAACCTTCCCCATTTTGGCTACTGTTCCAGTACAGCCACGTTCTATAAAACCAGGCCAAACTATATGGCATGTGAATTATGTCTCAATAAAGCTGTTTTATATATGTTGTTGTTGTTAAGTGCCGTCGAGTTGATTCCGACCCATAGTGACCCTGTATAGGGTTTCCAAGGAGCAGCTGGGGAACTTGAACCACTGACCTTGCAGTTTAAATGGCTTTGCAATCTGGTGCATTAACCCACAGTGCCACACCAGGACTCTGGTTTTATATATGTATGTATGTACATATACATATATACACAGACACACACACACACATATATGGAGCTCTGGTAGCGTAGTGGTTAAGAATCGGGCTGTGAACTGCAAGGTCAGCAGTTCGAAACTACCAGCTGTTCCGCGGGAGAAAGATGAGGCTTTCTACTCCCGTAAAGATTTACAGCCTCAGAAACCCTATGCAGGGTCACTATGAGTCGGAATCAACTCTACGTAACAACAACAACAACAAAATATATATATGCTGTTGTTGTTAAGTGCATTTGAGTCGATTCTGACCCACAGCGACCCTGGGTAGGGTTTCCAAGGAGCAGCTGGTGGGTTTGAACCGCCAACCTTGTGGTTTGCAGCCCAGGGCTGATCCCACAGCAACACCCCAGGCAGGAGTCCATTATTGATTTGAAAGAGATAGAGAATGATGGGAGAGTGACGCACTCCACGTCAGAACTTTGAAACATATACAGTCAGCCCTCCGCATCCATGGATTTCATAGTCACAGATTCAGCCCAGTGTAGATTCAAACAATTCAGTGAATAATAAAAAATTAAGTGGTCAAAGCAATCCCTCAAAGGTTAAGCAGGAGCCTAAAGTACTATTTACATAGCATTGACATTGTATTACGTATTATAAATAACCTAGAGAGAATTTAAAGTATAAGGAAGGATGTATGTAGGTTATATGCAAATACTATGCCATTTAACATAAGGAACTTCGAGCATCCACTGATCCTGGAATCCATGGGGGTACGGGAATCAATCACTTCTGAAGACTTGGTGGCCACTTCTGTCCAAAGCTGAACAGAACCCCTCATCATAGGGCCAAGATGATTTAGCTAATGACTCTAAGCAGATAACAAAGCTACCTCTAACTTTTCCAGACACCAATAAAAACAAAATATAAAATACTTATAACAAAAATGTACGTTTTAGTTTCTGAAAAGTAACAGTACCTCCCTTAGAATGTTGTTAGGAAGATTAAGTCAGGTAATGTGCATAAACTCTTAGCAAAATTCTGATCTGTGGTCAACATCTCTGGGAGCAGGTCATCTTGCAGTGGCGTCCCTCTGCCGGCTGAGTGCCCCTCAGAAGGACACTGAGTGAGGGCCTGCCCCTGCCTTCTGCTCCATGACAATCTATGCACCAAGTTAAGCTGGACTTTCCGCAATGTCGGATGTAGTCTGTCCTGGTGCTCACTGCCTTAGGAATTAGATCACCATCAACACACTGCCCCAGCACATAGGAAATGGCCAAGGAACCCTTGGGGCTTTTGTTTACTGAGTGGTAAAGGTAGGCTGGGTAAGACTCTGGAATCCTAGCAGCTAGGCTAAGGAGTGGTGCACTGAGCTCTGTACTGAGGGCGGGACGTGATCAGGTGGGTGACTAAGATGAAGCTCGAGTTAGCGCAGGGGAAAATGGCTGCAAATTGAAAATCTTAGGACAAGGAGGCCTGAAGTGGATTCAGCCACAGCATCACAGTTGTTGAAAGAAGGCTCTGAATAAGATCAGGCCCAGACACCAAGGCTTGGTGATGGATTTGATTCTGTTGGTGTTAAGTGCTGTTGAGTTGCTTCCGACCCATAGCGGCCCTGTATAGGGTGTTTCTGAGGAGTGACTGGTGAACTTGAACCTCTGACCTCGTGGTTTAAACCGGCTTTACAGTCCAGCGCATTAACCCACAGCGCCACACCAGAACTCCACAGATTTGATGGGGGAGCCCAAAAGACAGGAAGGAATCAGGAATATTCTAGGAAATTATGTCTGGGCAGTAGTGAGGCTAGTCCATGAGCAGAGACAGCAGAGGCTTTGGGTTTTTATTCATAAAGGATGAGCGAAAAATCAATTACTAGACAAATGAAGTGTCCTGCCCTCAATTGTGCTGTGGGAGAGCCAAATGTCACAGGGAGAGGGTATCTTTTCCACTGGGGTTTCCATAAGAGGGGCAGGAGAGCAGGCCACCAATTTTCAGATGTTCTGAATAATCGAATGAATAATCCTACCCCATTTCCAGCAGAGCCTTGGTAGTACAGTGGTTACGTGCTCAGCTTGAACCCAGCAGCCAGCCACTCCACAGGAGAAACATGTGGCAGCCTGGTTCTGTAAAGATTTACAGCCTTGGAAACCCTATGTGGCATTTCAACTCTGTCCTACATGTGGTTGCTCCAAGTCAGAATCGACTTGAAAGCAATGGCCTTTTTTTAAGCCAAACTTCCAAAGTTAAAAAGAGCCCAGAGGAAACCGCCCCCAATAACAATCCCAGACAGCAGCAGATCCTCTCTGCTCATCATGTTTTAAAACTTACTAACAGTGAGACGGAGTCCTGGTGTGGCGCTGTGGGTTAATGCACTGGACTGCAAAGCAGGTTTGAACAGCAAGATTGGCAGTTCAAGCTCACTAGTTGCTCCTTGGAAATTCTATACAGGGTTGCTATGGGTCGGAATTGATTTGATGGCACTTAACAACAAGATGCTGCCAGAGCCACCTCAGAAGAGAAATAAACTTTTGGCACCTGTCATTCCTTCAGCACAAAGCTTACGGGACTTCTGACATTTTTTTAACAAGTTTATTTCATTTACTTTTCAATATGCAAAATGCACCATTATTCTGTTAGTTTTTCAGACTGTGGAGTGTTGGGTGCTGCTGTGGTGCTAGCAGCTACGCTGTCAGTATTTCAATACCTGCGGTGTCACCCATGTTGGAAACAATTTCTGATATAGTGCGAAAAGATGAGTCGACTTCTGACATTATTTTGTAATGAATGTTTTTATTGGTTCACTTCCTGTTCTGTATTAGAAGCTCTCTATAAAGGCAGGGATTTTTAATTTGCCTTTCTTTCTGTTCCAGGATCTAGTACAATGCCTGGCACATAGCAGGTGTTCCAGAAATGTTAAATGAATAAATGAAGCTCAGAGAACCGTTGGGCTCAGCTGAGTTCTGAGAATGTACTTCCTCACTGACAACCCTCTACCTAGAACCATTTAGATCAATTATTACATGATGACAACAGTGATTTTAAAGTCAGTAAAAGTCACTCTGCTTATTGGCTAATCATGTCGTATCTTTTCTTGGCCTCAGATTCCTTTTCTGCAAAATGGGGATAACTGACAATACTAAATTCATCTCCCCCAGGCTGCTAGGAAGAGTATGACTGAGATTATCTGGTACATGTACTATTCAAGGAGCTCTGTCTCCTTCCTTCCCTCTTCGATATTTAACAGTGAAGAATATATTGATCTTCCACTTACCTTGCCAATCCTGATGTATGAATTTATAGTATCGAGCAAATCAGACTTTTTTTCATTTATAGGCACTTCAGCTAACTCCTTCCCTATCAATTCACCGGACTGATAGCCCATTGTTGTTTCAAATGCAGGATTTGCATACTGGTGGGGAAGACAAAAAGAAAAAAAAACAGTAAGTAAATTGAAAGAAACCTTGAGAAGAGGGCAATTAAGGATCTTCAATCAAAACCATCACATTTACTCCCAGAAAATTCAAGCTGGGCCCTCATCATAGGGGTTACTAAAGGAGTTAAGAATACACCTTAGGGAAAAAACAAAACCCAGGGATCAGAGAAAGTTTGGCTCCAGTGACACCTGGCTGGGCTCTCTATCTGTTCTCCTGGGGTCCAGGGAAAGTCGTAGGCCTACTCCCACTGAAACAATGGCAGAGGGAGAGGGTCACATTGAAACTGCTACAACAGGGCTGTTTATGCTACAATGGCATGTGGCACCAGACTGTTGTTGCTAATGCCACTGAATCGATTCTGACTCTTAACTCCACGTGTGCAGACCAGAACTGTACCAGAGGGTTTGCTAGGCTATAATCTTTTAGAAGCAGATCTCCAGGCCTGTCTTTGGCAGGCGGTACCTATGGGTGGTTAGTAGTTGAGTGCTTACCTGTTTACACCACCTGGGAACTAACTCAGGCTCTACTCTTATTCCACACACACCTGACTTCCACAAGTCACTTAGCCCCTCCAAAGCTCAGGCTACTGTTTAATGGGAATCAGATACTCATATTGCCTAGCTCATATAATTCAAATGAATTATGAATGTAATTTAGTGTTTATTTAGTGTTCTTAAATGTAAGACTCTTTGTTTTCATTTTAAATAAGGCTGTACGTCTCAGAGAAGCCACATGTGAAAGCTGGGCCTAGGCTAATAATGAGGAGGACAACACAATAATTGACTCCGTTTATTAAGGCTGCGGGGTAATGTGCTGGGCTGCAGGGTTGGTTTGAACACAAGGCTGAACCATGAACACAAGGTTTGAACAACAACATCAATGTTTGTTTTCCTTGCTAAGCACTATAGTGATGGCTTCATACACATTAATTTGTTCAGTTCTCAGAACACCCCTTTGAAAGTGCTTTCAAGTCGGTTCTGACTCATAGCAGCCCTGTATGGGGTTTCCGGGGCTTTTAAATCTTTGTGGTAGCAGAACATCTCAGCTTTCGCCCGCAGACGGAAGGGGGCTCGAAATGCGGACCTTGTGATTTGCAGTCCAATGCTTAAACGTATGGAACCACCGTGCCCCTTTGAAAAGTAGGTGATTGTTACTGTAATTTCCATTCATACCGACAAGGAAGCAGACTCAGATGGATTACCTGACTTGCCTAAAGTTGCACAAACTACCTGACACCAAAGCCTGTGCTTTCCAGCTACTGTCCTGCGTTGCTTCTCAGACACTGATTCCCCAAGTGGTGACACTATCAACTCAGCATCAAGAAAGGTACAGGTTAAAGTGGAGAACCCAAGTGCCAAGAACTGAATTAAAGTGAGCCAACCGCTCTCAGACAGAAGGAATAGTCCTCTGGTACACCTTCCTTTTTTGCTGTTAGGTGGTTCAAATCCAACAGCCGCTCAGCAGGAGAAAAGATGAGGCTGTCGGCTTCTGTAAAGATTGACAGGCTTGTGCTAAAGGGCCACCAGGAGTCAGAAATGGCTTGATGGCAGTGGTTTTCTTGAGTTAAAAGTATTAACTCATGTATCTTAAGTCACTTACATAAAAACACTTTGCTAATGATGGGTAATTTATTTAAACATTCATAGGTCTGTTCATGTTGAGATTTTTAAAGTTATTTCTAGTAAATTTCTTTAAGTATAATCCATCTGCATAAACAGTGAGAAATAGAAACATAAATGTGGTATTTCCACGGAACATTTTGCTAGCACCTTAATTTTTTAAAACTACTTTTTCTTATCCATAAGGAACTTATTTTAAACTATATATTTTGTTCTTATAATCTTCTAAGGAAAAACTGGTCTCATGAAGTTAAGAATGAAAAATAAAAATTGCATTGGAGGGGAACAATGCTAAAATAAAAGGAAACACAAGACACCCGGGAGGACACACTGGAAGGACACATTTCCAAGTCAACAGACCTGTATGACGTGGTCTTCACTTGTAATTTCAATTGCTTCTTGACTTTTCTCTAATGCAGTAAATACTGAGTTACAAGCCCTGTATGGACAGACAAACAAAACACTCATTAACACAAGGACTACAAAAGCAGATACAGTCTTAGGGTATGACGCTATTTAAATGTCAGGTTTCTTGTTTGTTATTTTTTGCCTAATTATAAAGGTAATGCATACATATGCAAGAAGAACAAGGAGGGATATTGAAAAGCATAAAGCAGAACCAATTCTCCCCCCCCTCCCGCCCCACTGATGAATCATCGCTAGTCACAAATCTGGTGTCTTTCATTCCAATCTGAGGCGGCAGTAGGCCCGGGTGGAGCAAACACCAGGGTTCAAATCACAGCTCTTCCTTCCCCAGCTGTGGGATCCTGGGTTGATATTTGAACCACCTTAAGTGTACCTTTCCATCCCCTGAAAAGTCCTCATGAGGACAGCAGAAGAGAATAGAGTCAAGTGCCCTGCACAGTTGGCAGTGAAGAGGCACTCAATCATTTGTAACTGTTATTTGAAACAAAATATTTTCACATAATTATGACCGCTTGGAATGAGAAGCTTGCTTCACTTGTTTTTTTTTTATATCCTTAGTGCTTGAAAACATTTTACTAATTAAACAGGTAGCAAATATTTATTGAAAGAAACGATAAAATAAAAAACAAGCAAAAGTAAATGGGACACCGCTTCATACCTACTCGGGTGCCTATGATAAAAGACAGCAATTAATAACAAGTATTGGTGAGCATGCAGAAACACTGGAACCCTCATACACGCCTAGTAGGAATGTCAAAGGGTCCAGCCCCTTTGGAACAGTCTGGTGGTTCCTCAAATGGTTAAACAGAGAGATACCACATGATCCTCAATTCCACTCCTAAGGATATACCCAAGAAAAATGAAAACATAGGCTCATACAAAGACGTGTAGATAACTGTTCATAGCAGGATTATTACTCATAATAGCCAACATGTGGAAATAACCCAAATGTCTACCAACTGATGAATAATTAAGAAAGAGTGGTGTATTCATACAACAGAATATTGTTCAGCCACAAAACAAAATGAAGTACTAAATAACATGCTACAGAATGGACGAAGCTTGAAAACACTACACTAAGAAGCTAGACAGCAAAGGTCACTTACTGTATGATTGCATTTATGCAAGAGAGTTAGAATAGGCAAATCTATCAATACAGAAAGTAGATTAGTAGTTGCTTGAGCTGAGGGAAATGGAAGCAATAGAGGGATTGGAAAGTAACGGCTAAGGGGTGCAGGTTTTGTTTGGGGTTAATGAAAATATCTAAAATCATTTGTGGTGATGGATGTACAATATAATGAAAATACTAAAAGTCAATGAATTATTTACTTTGAATGGTGAATTATCTGGTATATAATCCAACATCTCAATAAATCTGTTAACAAAATAAATGAGCTCAAATCATCTGAAATCCCAACTTCTAGATATATCAACAGATGCTGTAAACATTTTCTTATGTAAATATCTATGATATATACACACACACACACACATATATGTGGCACTGTGGGCTAATATGTCAGACTGCAAAGTTATTTGAACTGCAAAGTCTGTAATTCAAGCTCACCAAGCTGCTCCTCTGGAAACCCTGTATACAGGATTACCATGGGTCAGAACCAACTTGACAGTACTTAACAACAACATACATGCGTAAACACACACACATATACACGTGTGTATATTTATAAAAATGGGGTCAAGTGCTATACTTTTATCAGTCTGCTTTTCTCACTTAACAATATTTATTAACATACCTCCATATCAATAATTAGAATTTTTAATTATCACTAACTGATAACATTCTATTATATGGTTATGTTATAATTTATTCAACACATCCCCTATAACTAGACATTTAGTGTATAAGGATTTTTAGTGATAAGGATTCTCCTACTAAAGGATGTATCAGAGATTCTCTTGCCTTAGAACAGGGGTGGGGAACCTTTTCTCTGCCAAAATTTCTAACATTGTTCATGGGCCACACAAAATCATCAGCTTAAAAATTAGTGTGCTATATTTGGTCAAAAGGAGCTCTGGTAGCATAGTGGTTATGAATTGGGCTGCAAACCGCAAGGTCAGCAGTTCGAAACTACCAGCTGTTCCGCGGGGGAAAGATGAGGCTTTCTGCTCCCGTAAGATTTACAGCCTCAGAAATCCTGTACAGGGTTGCTATGAGTCGGAAGCGACTCCACGGCACATAACGACAACATATTTGGTCCAATATTTAATTAACTCACACCTAACGTGATGGCAACTGTAAAGCTGTTTGAACTGCAAGGTCATCAGTTCTAGCTCACCAGCTGCTCCTTGGAAACCCTATACAGGGTCGCTGTGGGTCAGACCTGATTCGACGGCACCTAACAACAACAACAATGTGATGGCTGGAACTGCGGTTGCCTTGGCAGGGCGAGATCAAATAATTTTGAGGGCCTTTCATGGCCCACGGCTAGACGTTCCTCACCCCTGCTGAAAAGACAGCAACTGCCTGCTTTTTCATAAACTTTACAGATAATTATTTAAAAACCTGTAAGAATAACAATGCCTTACTATTACTCCTGGTATTGCTAAATAATTGTCTTCCTAAAAGAGACAAAACAGCTTAGCTAATAAAAATTAGCTATTTCTTGGCACATAAAAAAATAACAAGACATAATATGTGATTTATCTCTCAATAAAATTGCTATTAAAAAGATCAAAATAATAAATAATTGCTCGTTTCTGATATAACAAGCTTAAAGGCACTAGAGCTGGGAGAAATTCTACTGGGCCTCATTCTGTTTAATTTCTGCAGATTTGGTTAATAAAAAATGGTATACCACTTGCATTTCTTTGCTTACTATTGACGCCAAGCCCTTTTTCATGTTTATTAACCATTGATCTTTTTTAAAGTATTGAAGAACAGATCTTTTTAAAGTATTGAAGAGCAGAGATGTCAGCTTGAGGACTAAGGTGCGCCTGACCCAAGCCATGGTATTTTCAATAACCTCATATGGATGCGAAAGCTGGACAGTGAATAAGGAAGATTGTAGAAGAATTGATGCCTTTGAGTTGTGGGGTTGGAGGAGAATACTGAAAGTGCCATGGACTGCCAAAAGAACCAATAGATCTGTTTTGGAAGAAGTGCAACCAGAGTGCTCCTTGGAGGCCAAGATGGCTAGGCTTCGTCTCTCATACTTTGGACACATTGTCTGGAGAGAACAGTCACTGGAGAAGGATGTCACGCTGGGTAAGATGGAGGGTCAGAGAAAAAGAGGAAGACCCCCAACGAGATGGATCAGCCAGGTGACATCATTGATGGCGTCAAGTGTGGCGCCGGTAGTGAGGTTGGCCCAGGATCGGACATTGTTTCATTCTGCTGTGCATGGGGTCGCTATGAGTCAGTTCCAACTCGATGGCACCTAACAACAACAACAACCATTGATACTTCTAGTGAACTCCTACTAACCATAGCTTTAATTTTGTCTCTCTCTACTGAAATGCTGTCTTTTAAAAATTTGTTCATGAAAGTTCTTCACAAATTTATGATATTAACCTAATGTCTGTTCTATATGTTACAAATACTTTTTTCTACTGTGTCATGTCATTTGTCTAAATTTTTAACATTAAGGGTTGTTTTATTTTCAAAAACTGTAAACAAGCTTGACAATTTTATGCTGCCTAATCTGATCCTCTTCCTTTACAGAATCTGGTTTTTATTATGCCATGCTGATTAAAGACTTCATTATCTAATTATATACACTCATATGTTTAGACTTGAATGGTCCTATTTTTTTATATTTAAGTCTATAGTCCATTGGAGTTTTTATTTGGGTGCAGTGTGATGGGAATATAACTTACTTTTCTTCCCAAATAGACAGCTGTCACAATTCTATTCATTGAAAACGCCCCCTTTCTCCAGTTCATTTAAATGCCATGTGGATCGTATGCTAAATTATTAAATGTAGTCATGACTCACTGACTTAGCAGTAATATAAAGTTGTTTGTTACAGTTTTCAAATGCAATTTAATGTCCAGTAGAACAAGTTTGTTTTCTTCAATGTTCTAGTCCTACACTTTCTCCTTCTCTTTACGATTTTATTTACTGGTATTTACTGATGAAGATCAAACACTGCAGTCCTCAGCATGGATTGTACCTCCACATAAAGAAAATAAAAATCCTCACAGCTGAACCAATAAATAACATCAAGACAAATGGAGAAAAGATTGAAGTTGTCAAAGACAACATTTTGCTAGGATCCACTATCAACAATTATGGAAGCAGCAGCCAAGAACTCAAATGACATACTGCATTACGCAACTCTGCTGCACAAGACCTCTAAAGTGTTGAAGAGCAAAGATGTCAGTTTAAGGACTAAGGTGTGCCTGACGTAAGACACGGTATTTTAAGTAACCTCATAATCATGTGAAAGTTGGACAATGAATAAAAGAAGACTGGAGAAGACTTGATGCATTTGAGTTGCGGAGTTGAAGAACATTGAAGGTACCATGAAGGCCAGAAGAACAAACAGGTCTGTGTTGGAAGACGTACAGTTGGATGCAATGATATACGATAGGATAAATGTAAAGGCAATGTTCTCCCATGTAAACTATCACATAATTCACAATAAAAACATTAAAAAAAAAAGAAAAAAAAAGGGGGGGTTAACTCTTCCAGTGCCTATCTATCTGGGGGGTTACTCTTTTTTAGAAGCCACATAAAGAAGTATCATACTTCCAGCTGAGGTGACAATTAACATTATAAAAACATATAATTAAGAAACAAAGACAAAATAAAGGTGTGTGGGGGAGAGGTGTCTTAAGGCAGTGCAAGATTATTTTGTTAAATTCTCAAAATGACTGCACTCATGCTTTCAATCCTCCCTTTGAGACTGTTGTTGTTGTGAAGTGTCTTGGAGTCTATAGGACTTTGTTAACACACTTTAAGACTCACTAAGTTTAAGTCCAATGTTGTTAAGTGCTGTTGAGTTGGTTGTGACTCACAATGACCCTGTAAGAGTTTCCGAGGAGCAGTTGGTGGGTTTGAACTGTCACCTTTTCATTAGCAGTCCAATGCTTATCCTACAGCATGACAAAAAGAATGTTTAGATACATTAAAAATTAAATAAAATGTGCTTTAAAAAATAAATAAATAAAAGAAGTACAGTTGGAGTGTTCCTTAAAAGCCAGGATAGTAACTTTGTCTCTCACACTTCAGGCATGTTATCAGGAGGGACCAGTCCCTAGAGGACATCGTAGTTGGTAATGTGGAGGGTCAGCAAAAGAGAGGAAGACCCTCAAGGAGATGGATTGGCACAGTGGCATCAGCAATAGGATCAAGTGTGCCAACTGTTAGAATGATGCAGGAGTGGGAAGTGTTTTTTTCTATTGTACATAGAGTCGTTAAGAGTTGGAACTGACTCAATAGCATATAGCAACAACAACTTCATCTTTTTATACAGGTCCCCCACTACTCGAAAGGAGAACATTCCTAAGAAACTTTTCACAAGACGAAAATGTATAAAGCAAAGAATCAGTTAACATTAATTTATATGGGAAAATATTTTGAGCATTCCCAGACCTACCAATAACTACCAAATCATACCAAGTAACACACAGAACCTACAGCAGCACTAACACAGTGTTTGAAGATGCAGTTCAAAGCTAGGCAGGCGGTTCAATACCAAGATGCTGACTGCAGTTCCGGCGGAAGGAGACTCGTGACGTTTCTATGTTCTAGATGCAAACAGCCTCTTTAAAGGTTCGCTGCAAAATATACACTGAACACTCGTTTCACCTTTTACCCTTTTCCATAAAAGTGAAAATGCTTGGGGTTTCTTTCAGTTAGTGAAAACAGTTAAGTCTTTCATAAAAGCAAAGTGGTGTAAAGTGAATTTCCAAAAGCTCGGGACTCCTGTTTTCCCTGTCAGCAGGAGCATTGAGGCTAAGGCCAGGCATGTTGAGAAGTGAGGCCAAAGAGGTAGATGGACCATGGAGAACCTTGTAGGCCACATTTTGGAGTTTGGACTTTTGTCTTGGAGACTGCGGAGAGTCACAGAGCAGTACCACAAATGGAGTAACGTGTTCCTGAGTGTGCAGAATGCACGAAAAGGGGCTGAGACTTGATGTAGGGAGAGTAAGTGGCTGTTTCAGTCATCCAGGTAAGAGAGATAGTGACTTAAACTAGGAGAACAGCAAGGAGTGAAGAGAAGTGGACACAGTACAAAGGTCCTTGGGAATGGAAATCAATGGGAGATGCTTATTGACTGGATTTAGAGATTATGTCAGAGATACAGGGTTTCAGTATTCTTTCCACATTGGAGATTTTAGAAACTTTCTGGTTTTCTTAAAGCTGTACAAGGAACTAGACTTTCATTTACATTTCACTTGAAAAAACACACCAGTTTATCAAGAGGAGATTATAAAACACTTATGATAGAGAAGGAAAAAAACATCACTTCCAAGAGATAAACAATGTTTATAATAGGGTGTAATGTGTATAGTAAATTCATTAATTTTTTTCCTTGAAAAACAAGGCAGATAATTGAGCATATACAAGTTTGTATCCTGCTTTTTGTTTCACTTGGTATTATTTTGGTGCCCCTTATTTTAAAATGAGGGTCTCCTATCACTAAGGTAACCACCAGAAATCAAAGGATGCTCCAGACAGTCTGTGCACGGAAAGGTGGCCCTTCCCACCACCATATCCCATTTCAGCAACTCACCAGCAAAGTTCTCACTTGCAGCACTGGCCTGGGTGGCCCAACAAGCTCTCCAGAAGTGGTACAATTACCTGAGTTTCAGTTGGGATCGCACTTCTCCAAACTCCAATTGGATCAGCTCATTGTAACAGGCCATGACGCTGGGGTTTTCTACAAACCTCTACAACAGAGAGGGGGAGTTCCTGGTTAAACAAGGGTGCATCGTCACATAATTATGGATCTCACTACAAATAATCCTTTTATTGGCAGCTGAAACCTAAAAGATGCTCAATTATCATTAATGATGAAGAAAGATGAGAGATGAAGTTCATGGTTAACACCAAATTGGCTTTTCAAAAGATATGCTCTAAGAATGCTCACTTTCAGCGCGTCTTGAGTTGAGTAAAAAGGATTTTGGTTGTCTGCATGGCAGTGATACAATAGAGGCTAAAATATGGAGGGAGTTTTGGTGTGACGTTGTAGGATAAGCACTGGACAGCTAACCACAAGGTTGGTGGTTCAAAGCAACCAGCCTCTCCTTGGAAACCCTATGTTGTTGTTGTTAGGTTAGGTGCCATATGAGTACCGACTCATAGCGACCCTATGCACACAACAGGAACCAAACAATGCCTGATACCCCAGGATTGGGCAACCTCACAATTATTGTCACGCTTGAGCCATCTTGTTGAGGGTCTTCCTCTTTTTCTCTGACCCTCCACCTTACCAAACAGGATATCCTTCTCCAGCGATTGCTCCCTCCTGAGAATATGTCCAAAGTATGAGAAACGAAGTTTGGCCATCCTGGCCTCCGAGGAGCACCCTGGCTGCACTTCTTCCAACAAAGAACTATTGGTTCTTTTGGCAGTCCATGACACTTTCAATATTCTCCTCCAACACCATAACTCAAATGCATCAATTCTTCTACGGTCTTCCTTATTCACTGTCCAGCTTTCGCATGCATATGAGGTTACTGAAAACACACCATGGCTTGGGTCAGGCATACCTTAGTCCTCAAACTAACAACTTTGCTCTTCAACACTTTAAAAACGTCTTGTGCAGCAGATATGCCTAATGCAATACGTCGTTTGATTTCTTGGCTGCTGCTTCTGTGAGTGTTGACAGTTGATCCAAGAAGAATGAAGTCCTTGACAACTTTAATCTTTTCTCCATTGATAAGAATGTTGATTGGTCCAGTGGTGAGGATTTTTGTTTTCTTTACATTGAAATGTAATCTATACCAAAGGCTGTCTTCTTTGGTCTTCATCACTAAGTACATTAAGCCCTCTTCATTTTCAGCAAGCAAGGTTGTATCATCTGCATATCGCAGGTTGTTAATGAGTCTTCCTCCAAACCTGATGCCATGTTTTTCTTCATATAACCCAGCTTCTCAGATGATTTTCTCAGCATACAGGTTGACTGTTGTTATTGTTACGTGCCGTGGAGTCGGTTCCGACTCATAGTGACCCTGCACAGGGTTTCTGAGGCTGTTAATCTTTACAGGAGCAGAACGCCTATCTTTCTCCCGCGGAACAGCTGGTAGTTTCAAACTGCTGACCTTGTGGTTCGCAGCCCGATTCGTAACCACTATGCTACCAGAGCTGAATAAGTATGGTGAAAAATATAACTGTGGCACACACCTTTCCTAATTTAAAACCATTCGGTGTTCCCATGTTCTGTTCAAACAATTGCCTCTTGATCTATCTACAGGCTCCTCATGAGCACAATTAAGTGCTCAGGAATGCTCATACTGCACAATGTTTTCCATAGCTTGTCAAGATCCACACAATCAAAGGCCTTTGCATAGTCAATAAATCACAGGTAAACATCTTTCTGATATTCTGTTTCAGCCACAATCCATTGGACATGTGAGATGATATCCCTTTTTCTATGTCCTCTTTTGAACCTGGCTTGAACCTTTGGATGTTCTCTGTTAATGTATGCTTGCAGCCGTTTCTCTACTACCTTTAGCAAAACTTTACTCACATGGGATATCAAAGATATTGTCCCATGATTTCTGCATTCCATGGGACATACGCGGATTTCTTCCAATCAATTGGCCAGAAAGTTGGTTTCCAAATTTCTTGGTTAAGGGACTTTTGGTTGGTGGCGGAAGAGCAGAGTCAGATAGGATAAGAGTCAGTGGGGGAGGGGCTGAAAACCCAGAGATGCCAGCTCTCACGAAACTGCACCAGAGCTCTGGATCAAACATAAGGGTCTTGGCGTCAGTTTCTAGCAACTGCAAGTGGAAAAATCACGGTATAAAGGAAAACATTGTGTTTTAGAAATCGGCACGGGACTCCCTCTGTGGCCATCCCACCCAGGTGGAAGTCAGAGGAAGCGAATACAAACAGACTGGCACAGGGAACCTGAGCTAAAAGCAACGAAGCGACATTTGCAAAAGAAGGTGTGGATGATTCTACATGTTTTTTTTTTGTTTTTGTTTTTTGTTTTTTGCCTCCTCTTCCCTGTCGTGCCTTCTTTGCCCATAGCGACGCCTTCAGGTGAGTGGGTGCACACCCCCCAAAAAAGTTTGGCGTTGAGATCACAGCTTTCTCATGTCACAGAACGAGCCCCACGGGTCCAAGGGCAAAGCCTTTGGCTGCTGCTTTTGACTTCTGCCTGTGGGTCCCAGCCTTAAAGTGAACTTGTGTGGGACAATTAACCCCTGCCTACCCAGAAAGGAAAAACAGCAGGTTTGTCCTAACAGACAAACCAAATGAACAATCTGTAAAACTCCAACATAAAAACACGCAACTATTTCAAGAATCACGCTGTGCACACGCAGATACTTAACTGAACCTCAGAGACAAAAGTAGGAAACAATCTTTCTCCCACTAACTTCTCAATATCTATCTGTGCACCTCTAACGTGGTGACTAGGGAAGGGGCCTGAACAAGTGGACACCCCAACCCACCATTGGAGGCTCCTACAGTACACACACACAATTTTATTTTTGTTTCAAAGTTAACGGTTCTTGTCTCTGCTTATAATTGCTTCTACTTTGGGGCCTTTTGATTACACATTCTTCTGGAGGTGGGAGCTATTTCTCCCTACGTTACCCAAGAAGAGACAGCAATCGTGGCCATATAGCCAAGCTACAACCATACCCCATAATATTCCACCATTGAGACAAGAGCCACTAACACTGCTAAGCATTATATGTGAAAAGGGAAGCCTATCTCCTGATCATATCCACCAGGAGACACCCTGTAAGCTTAATAACACAAAAACAAACATCCATTTAAGCATTAAAAAACCCACATAACTACAGGAAATGACAAACAATCTCAAACACAAACACAACAAGTGATCTCAAAACATGTTCAAAAAACAGAAAAGAGTAACTGAGACAAATGCGTCCCAGAAAAGGAAGGGCAGGTTTTGGATTTGCCTGAGATGGAATTCAGAAAAATGATACGGAAACAAATTCAAATGCTCCAAAAAGGGGTGGAGGAAAACAAGGAAGAAGTCAGGAAAGTACTACAAGAGCAATCAAACAAGATTGATACAGCATTGGAAACAATTCAAAACTGCAAAAAGAAGTCCAGATGATTAATAATAAAATATCAGAAATGGACAATACACTCAAAGGGGAAAGGAGCAGAATAGAAGAGATGGAAGCCAGAACTAGCGAGCTGGAAGACAAATCTCTCAACACTGCTAAGATAGAAGAATAAGCTGAAAAAAGGATAAAAAAATCTGACGAGAGTCTAAGATTCATGCTGGATAACATGAAGAGGAACAAT